GACAGACAGACTTACTTTCGCATTTATAATATTAGTTTGGATAACAAAATTACAAAATAAAAAAAAGTTTATATAAAAATTGATTGATAAGAATTAGAAGTTGATATTATCTATGATATAAATTCTCATTAAGTATTATTTGTTGTATAGTGATTTATAGTGTGATTCAGCGGCAATCGACTACCTACATGAATTGCCTGACGGTAAAGCGCGCGGCGCTGTCCATGGACCCAGAACTGTAGGAGTTGCAAGTGCTTTTTTTCTTATCTCTATCTCACTCATCTCAATCTCTATATCTATAATCTCAATCTCTAAAGATTCGGGATGGGATGGATTGAGCTTCCGATAACCTCACTCCCTCACTTACACGGCGAAACAAATGCCACAGATAAACTAGCTGCAGATATACTGGTATGGCTGTGGTAGTTTCCCTCCCTAATCCCTAAACCACCAAAACCTAAAAGGCTCGTAACTCCTCTGGTGTTGCGGGTGTCTATGGGCGACGCCGTTTGCTTACCATCAGGTAAACCGTCGGCTCGTTTGAAGCATTATCACATAAAAAAGATCAACAAATCGCCCACGCCGGTTTTTCGGCAACGTCAAAATTGACAAAACGAATACGGATGGAACGAATGGAAGGTACCTATATGTCAAGACTGTCATGCAAATGTAAATCGCGGCTTCGGCCCAGAACATAAGAAGGAACGGTGGGGTTTAGTCAGTAAGAGTCTGACTTTCTCTCTCGCCTTGCCCTGGGCGGGAGAAGTCTTTTGATTTATTTATTTATTTATCTATACACCAACTTACACTTACGGCTTACACCACACATATAAGTTATAGGCTAATATACAAATTATTTTCCCCTGACAAAATATTACATAAATATTATATAAATTATTAAATGATTTTCCCCTGACAAAAAAAAGGTACCTACTGTAATATAGCGATGTTATAGTGTCAAACCCACGTATTGAATGCGTTTTGGGTGGTGTCGCGAGTGTGATGTTAGGTTTAAGGCAAGTTTTGTCACAGTTGCGAACTATTTTGCTGTTAATTTTTTAATGAAAAATATACTTACCCAAAATGGCATAACTTGCCTGCATAAATAAGTCCTTATTTTACAGGTAATAGATATTATTACATTTTGACGATATAGCCTAACTTTTCTACTTACCTATTCGTCATTTAAAACGCTAAGGAGTCTGAATACGAATCGCGACAGGGGGCGCTAAAAACTTAGCCCCTGTCAGATAGAGAAATGGCTATAATCCTTCCTTCAACAAGTCATTTCTCTTATCCACAACTATTGAAGGGCAGTAACACGATCGACATTAACAATCTCACGCCTTTTTGACCCTCATAAAGAAAGGCAATGCAGAAATTACTATTTTTTAATAATGACTATCATGAGACTTACTTAAATTGGAAATAACGACTTGAATAAAGAGAAAAGCAGTTAATTCAGTAGCTATACTTTTATACCTCCATCTCTCTTTCTCTAGGTGAGTGATATGGAAGGCAGAGGAGTTAGCGATAGCGTGACGGGTGACAGGACAGAATGGAAGAAAAAAACATATTGCGCCGACCCCAAATAAAACGGGACAAGGGCAGGAAGATGATGATCTCTCTTTCTCGTCCGAAACATTCACGCTTTGACACGTCATGGTAGGCCCTCAGGTACCTAAGTTATCAATATAAAAAATACGAACTGTCATAAGTATCTACCAACGACCTAATTACTTAGTTGATCACCACAGACATACTCGATCAGGTCCGTCTTGATCACACTAAGCTTATTTTGCAAACTTCTTGCCTATTAACAATCTAAGTTAGCATGACAGGATTGTTTATCCGGATTATCGGCGCCGCCCATGGACACCCGCAATACGGATAGGGATAAGGGTTTCGGATATTTAAGGATTGGGAAGAAGTGGGGAGAGGGGAAGGGATTAGACGTCCGGTGAGCTCACTCACACGGCGAAACACAACGCTGTGGATGTTTTACGCCGGAAATAACATTACCATCATGTCATAGATCCTTTAAATTTGTTACAAATCACTTCACAATCTGCTTTTAATTGTACTAAGTAGTAGGTACCTTTCTTTTTCAATCATATCCATCTGGTAAGATTTATTTTCTTCATCCACTTAATCACATTAAATCTCATCTCATGTCCACCAATCGACAGTTTCATTTACGATTAAACTGCCAATAGTAAGGCACCAAAAATAAATCAAAGTTCGTCCTCCGGCATCAGATCTAACCAACTAATCCTTCAGCGACAGGGTCCGTGCAAAAACAGGCTCTATCTCAAAGCTACTGAGTTACAAATCGTATAGATAACGACGTATTTATAGTGCCATTAGTTTAACTGTCCGATAATAGTTTCAAGGGCTTTAAGGGGATATGTTTTTGCATGAAAAACGAACGGTAAAAAGGACAAGGCGGTAATGCGTGTCTTCTTAAAACTGTCGTAAGGCGGTAAATCCGGATTAGGTGAACTGTGATTGGTTCCGAGAATTCCATTTTCTATTACGCACTATTTTTCTTATTAATAGAACTCTAAAAATCTTCAACCTTCATTGCTATGACGAAGATTAGCTTTTGATTGATTGACCTCAGATTGTGAAACCATTTTGATAATAATCTAGATATTTTTGGTCTAAGGCTTTGTTTCTTTCCTAACTAACGAACTTTAGCCGAATAAAAACAATTTAGTTGGATCTATACCTACTGGTCAACAAAAAGGTAATAAATGTAGGTATATATTAAAGGTAATAAATTAAAATTAAGTTTTTGGAATATCAACCTTTTTGTTACATGTTGTGTTTCGCCGTGCAAGTGAAGTACCGGAGGCCCAAACATTCCCCCTACCCCATTCCTCTCTAATCCTTAAATAAGTATCCGAAGCCCTTATTCCAAAAAGGTCGGCAACGCACTTGAAACTCCTTTGGTGTTGCAAGTTGTCCATGGGCGGCGAATGCCTACCATCATTCAGATATTCATAATCTAAGACGACGTATCCCATAAAAAAATTACGCCATGAGAACGTAGTTACCGAAGGCCTAAATCCTCTGCCCATCCCCAATATCCAAAGCACTTATAACTCGCCTAGTGTTCCGGGTCTTTTTTTTGTCAGGGGAAAATCGTCGAATAACTTCTCCCGCCCAGGGTAAGGCGAGAGAAAGTGTCAGACTCTTACTGACTAAAAACCCCTCGTTCCTTCTCCAGCTCTGGGCCGAGGTTGCGGTGCCTCATTGCGCTTACCCCGCAACCCCGGCTGAACATCATCCCTATTGGGCCCCGACTGTGGTGATCTATTGGCTCTTTGAGGCGCGCGCGGAACGCTACGCGCCGTACGCTCGGGTCCGGAGTGTTCCGGGTCTGTGGGTGACGCTGATAGCTTAACATCGAACGTTTAACGTTATGTACGATAGTAAAACTTTCCTCAGTCAAATGAAGAAAAGTGAAAAGTGGGTATTTCTCATAACCTACTAAATACTAGCGCAAGCCTGTAAGTCGTCAAGTTATAAACAGGAGTTGGTGCCTGCGCACGTCAGGTAAATGGTACACTGAATTCTTTTTAATCGTTGCCCCATACTAGTTGGGAAGGGATGAGAAGAGGGTGAGAGATTGGATCTCAAGTAAACTCACACGGCGAAACACAACGCTGTGGTTGTTTCACGCCGGTTATCTATCAGTCCGTGGTATCACTTCGGTCGAGCCGACCCATTTGTGCCGAAGCTTGGCTCTTCCATACTTTCACTTTGACACGAAAATACAAAACAAGCGTGGTTTCATGCCAGCTTTCGAGGCTATGGCGTCTTTGGCGACGTCGCTTCCTGAGAAACCCAAGCTTATAAAATTCAAATCATTTCAAAACCAAATTCTTGTAAAATGAGACATGATTGTCCCAAGGCCTTGTAAAATAAAACAAGAAACTAATTTATATGATTTATTGATAGACAACAATTTCCAAAGAATAAATAAATATTCGATTATTCTACATAGAGTTACATTTTACACAAAAAAGTGCACTTCTCAAATCATATATACACTTTCATTTTGGTTTCAAATTTTAAAAATATAATAAATGCAATCGAGGAATGCTTATAATAAATATATAATATAAATAATATATAATATATACTATTGTGCTTCCAAGGTCACTTTCCACTTATATCTAAATAATACAGATAAATAAAAACAACTTTGTTCCAGCAAAAATATGGAGGGTAGATAGAAAAAATAATTTTGTGGTTATTTTTGGGTGTCAAAAGATATTATCGACAATTTAATTTTATTCAAAAATTCTATTTATTATTAAATAATACCTAGATTTGAGAACTAAGCACCACATTAACACATAAACAATTTATCAAAAATACCCACAAAATTAATATTTTTTTTAGTAAAACAATTATACAAATTCGTTAGTAAAACTGTACTTTTATTAATGGTTCATACAACAGTAGTTACAAATTTAGTATTATTATCATAATATCGAAGAAAATTAATATAAATGCGATAGTAAATACTGATATGAAGACAAAAGGTATTTCTCAAAGTTGCATTATTTATTGTTTTAAAACAGTTCAGTACATTATTTTGAGACAATAACGACCTTTGATACAGACAGACAGTTTAATACTTTGGAGCAGACTTTTCAAGCTTTATTTTTTGTGCGAACTTGCATTTCTAATTACGCTGTGGAAGGCCATTTTGATTGTCGGGCCGTTTCTTGCGCTATCAGGCCGTAATACGTTCGGTCGGGCCGCATTGGGCCTCGCTATGCTCTCTTAAGTAATGTAAGGTTTAAGTACTATTGGACTGTATTATGCAACACCATACCGTAGTAAGCTCTTTTATACTGTACTAAGCTTCAGGACCTTATAAGGCCTATTCTATGTTGTTATGTACTATCAGGCCGTATGTGTACTATCGGGCCGTATTGTTATGTACTATCAGGCCGCATATGATTTTATGCTTCTTACCCTTACAATTTTACTTTGGTCTTATTCACTCTCACCTTACCCATTTACCTTACAAATAGCATAAAGCTATCACCCTAAACATTACTTAGAAAATAACGAAATTGCACTTATTGCGTGTAATATGCATCTAAAACTAAGAACACATTTTGTTCGTAGACTTAAGGAAACATTAAGTTATTAAGCGTTTAGTATTGATGATTTGTGTTCTGAAAAAGAAAAGACAGATATAAATTAATGTTTTGTTACACAAATTCATTGAAAAAAGGAACTATCATTCAATTTTCGGTAAATAACAGTTGGTGTTTTTGATGGGTCATTGCTATTAACGAACCGTTAAAAACTGACAGCCCAAAAATGAAGAAAAGACAGAATCGGGAATTTTATTTTTTTGATGACCATTTCGGTTTAAAGATTACCATAGAAGTCCTTCTCTTGTTTATATCTTTTTTAAGCTTTATCATGGCACACAAACTTTTTTTCACATTTTACACACATTCAGGAAGAACCTATCATACTATGAAATAAGACATACCTTCACTGCGCCTTCTCATCCTTGATTTCACGAACTTCGACCTTAGGGTTGTTCTTCCAGATGTAGTAGGAGAGGGAGCTAGCGTAGCCCAACCACGCCAGGTACGGCAGCATCAGGTACCCGGCCTTGTGGCTGATTGGGAAGAAGGATAAAGTCGTTGCCAGCGCAGCGCCTGACAGTACTGAGATCTCGATGAAGGCCTGGAGAGGACAAAAGAAGTGAGTGAGAAAATGTTTCTAAGAATCAAGATTTTTTTTTCTTGCAATAAACTAGTGCTTGACTGCGATCCCACCTGATGGTAAGCAGTGATGCAATCTTTGATGGTAAGGCGCACTAGTTTATGAAGAGCCTATTCACTCTAGCCTTGAAGACACCTAAATTGTATTCGGACGGAAAGACTGCAGCCGGCAAACTGTTCCAATCCCTCGATGTACGCGGTATAAATGACGAGGCAAAACGCTTAGTCCGGGCCGCAGGTGTCTCAATAACGTAAGGGTGGATATTCGCCGTACGCCGGGATGTCCGAAGGTGAAATTGGGAGATAGGATACTGAGAAGTTAGTTTCTGTCTCTCAGTATCTCTTTATTTATCTATACTAATATAATAGAGGTAAAATTTGTAAGTTTGTATGTAGGGGGTAATCTTTGGAATCGCTGGTCGGATTGCCAAAATTCTTACACTGATAGATAGCTACAATGTTCCTGAGTGATATAGGCTATAAAACATCGCGCTACGATCAAACGGAGCCGAGAAGCGGGTGAAACCGCGCGAGAGTAGCTATAGCTTAGGAAGAGAATCCTTGGTTTCAGACAGGGGTTCCTGAAATCTATTTTTAACCACCCTCCCTGGACAGTTAGTCAGCCGGGGTTACGAGGCAAACGCAATAACGAACCGCGGCCTCGGTCTAAATCAGGAGAAGGAACGGAGGTTTTAGTCAGTAAAAGTCTGACACTCCCTATCGCCTTACCCTAGGCGAAAGCAGTCATTTGATGACTTTCCCCTTATAAAAAAGCATACCTTTTCACAGCTTACTGTTGTAAAATTAAAATAGATGATACCCAAATTTTTTTCGAGCTTGGGTCAGCCCACCCAGCAAGGTCGTCTAACTATTATACTGAGAATCATCATCATCATCAGAATATACGCACCAGCTTGAAGTCCTTCATTCCAAAGAAGATGGGAGTCCACGCCCAGTTGAGGAGCAGCTGACCTCCGTACAGCGAAAGGGGCAACACTGCCTCATCTGTAAACAAATATACAGAACTTTAGCATAAATATATTGCGCTCTCTTTCTAACTTGGTAGTTTCCTATATCAAAAAATTATTATTTTGAATATTCAGAACAATGAATTATTAAAATATGTATAATCAGTCTAGATTTTTCTAGTAAATTGTTCCGTAATAAGTATGACATTTGACAAAAGAACATTATGACGTCATAATTATTTATTTAAAAAAACGTTGCCCCACATTAGGATTTTCTCCTGTGTCGTGGTGCTGTTAGAAACTACAATTCTACATGCACATGACACGTTCCGAAAGAGTTGTTCCGTGGGGGAATCGAACCCGCGACATATTCGACGGCAGGCAGTTGCCCAGCCACCGCACCAACCGTGCAGTCTATAAGTCATATGTTGCGAGTTCATACAAAATTCATAGAAAAGTATCGTTTTTGACATATCAATAAAAGTATTGAATTTGACTAGTTCGAAACTACTGGATTGTTAAAAAAGGGACTTGTGTGAGAGGGACAGAAATATTGTATCACAGGATGGTTCTAGATGTCTCTGGAGGACCCAGAACACCTTTTAATTGACAATGATGGTCACCGGAGTGGTTTTAGTATCCCCAGCCTTTTCCACAAATGGCAACATGTTTTTTTTTTACTTCGTGAGCAGTCATTTGGCCGCTATCACGGCTGATGGTAAGTGATGATGCGACCTTCGATGGAGCACGCCTACCCATAAGCAACCTATTCACTCGGACCTTGAAGACACCCAGGTTTATACCCTTCGGGGAACACAGACTCCGGCAAAGAATTCCACTCCTTAGCGGTTCTGATTATAAAACTGGAGTCGAATAGCTTCGTGCGTGTAGGTGGTTATATAATAAAATTATATTCTGAACAACGAGTACAAGGGATTTAGACGATTGACTTTAAAATGATATCCACAAAAAAAACGTACAATTATTCCTAAACAATAGGAAAACAGAATCCATGGCGTATTTACTATGATTAGGTATTAATTTTTAGCATATTTTTTCCTTTACATTTACACAAACAAACCACACCTAGTGAAACCTCCACCACCTGGTGAACATACCTAAAACACTTACTCATAAAAACTACGACAACGTTTTACAAGAATACCATAAAAAATGTATTTTTATTGTCTGACGTCATACCTATTTGTACCTATATACGTACGTAGTCGTACATAGTGATTTCAACACATACTTATGTATGGCATGATATCATGAATTTTGTTTGCCATAATTACCATAAGCTGAGGTAATAATGCCAATTAACATACCTATTAGACTATGAAAAAACTACTTCTTATTATTCTTACGAAATAGTCTTGTAATAAAATCATAGAAGTCTGAGCTTCGGCACGAGTGGATCGGCACAACCGTAATGATACCACGGCCTCACAGAATACCAGTGTAAAACAACAATTATGTTATGTTTTGATCAGTGTGTGAGGTTACCGGCAGCCCAATCCTTATATTCCCCCCCCCCCTTCCCACACCCTGAAGCTGAAGAAGGAACGGGGTGGATTTTGTCAGTAAGAGATTGACACTTCTTCTCGACTATACTATACAGACCCCATCGAGAGAGAGCAAAGTTATTAGTTGATTTTACCCACTTACGAAATGAAAAAGCTAAATCTAACGATTGTTAGATTATTTTCATTAAATGTCGTGGTAGCCCTTAAAACGTGGCAAGAACCAATGTGACTTTTTCCAAGTCATATGTACTTTCTATAATTATTTAGACACCACCGACATATGGTGAAGGAAAACATCGCGAGGGAACCTGGACTTATAATTTCTGATTATAAGTTTGAAATCGCCAGTTCTTGAGCTAGCATTCTCCGTGTGAGAAGAGGCCTTTGCTTAGCAGCGGGCACTTACAGGCTAATGATGAGATGTAAAGATATAATAATCAATAATCTTTACATGTTTTTATCTGATTCGCGACTATTTACTTCATAATTCTATTTGTCGCACACAACTAACCTTATGTAAATAACAGTCTTACATACTTCAATGTCATAAAATTCAAAATTCAAATAACCGTGTTGCTATCAGCGATCGATAAATCTTATTCAAACAGATAAAGCTATCTTTTCGGAACCGTTATCCCTAAGCCGTTGAGTTTTAAATAATAATAACAATATTTTCTATTTAATCTAGATGTTGCTTGCTTGTTTCATGAAGTAGGTTTTTTATTAAGATTTTCCTCTTTAGTCGTCTCTATTAACCGTCAAGGTTATTTTTATGTGCCAGTGTTAAAAAAGGCCTTGAAAAGATGACTAATACAAAGGCTATTTGAAATATCGCTAACTAAAGGCAGTTTGAGGATTGAAACCGGGAGGAAATATTTATAGATACTTTATTTCCCCATTTTTTATGTGTTAGGACAGCAAACGAGCAGACCGATTACCTGATGGTAAGCAATCAGCGCCGCCCATAGACACGCGCAACACCAGTGCAGTTACGAGTGCTTTGCTGGCCTTTTGAGAATTAGGGTTTCAGATATTTAGGGAGAAACACAACGCTGTAATTGTTTCAGGTCGGTTTTCTGTGAAGCCGTGGTATCTCTGGTCGAGCTGACCCATTCGTGCTGAAGCATGGCTGTCCACTTACTTAACGTGACCGTTTTAGTAATTTAGAAAGGACTAAAGTATGTCCTTAATCCTTCTTAAAATTGTGCTACTTATATATCACGTATCTTATTAAAGTGACACCACATCATAATCATAACTCAAGCCTTTATCATATTGTTACCATACTGACAACTTGCAACAACTATCATTCTCGTGATAAGTGATATTGCATTTTTTGCAATTCCAGATGATGAAATTTTACTAAGTTTGTCACAAAAATGGTAAAAAACATAACACTCCTTTTTTGGGCAGTCGCGTAAAAATGAAAAATGATCAGCAAACAATAATACCTAGCTACCATAGCTATAAAAAAACTAAAAAAATAGTGTGGGAGAGCCGGTAAAAAAAATGTATAATGGGTCGGCTCGACCGGAGTAATACCACGGCCCAATCCTCCCCCTCCCCCGATCCCTCTAAATACGTATATCTTCAAAACCCTAATCCCTAAAAAGTCGGCAACGCACTCGTAACACCTCCGTTGCGGGTATCCATCGGCGGCGCTGATTGCTTACCATCAGGTAATCCACCTGCTCGTTTGCCGACCTATTACATAAAAAAATGATATTGTTTCAAAAACAAATTCTAACACTGGGGAAAGTAACCATTTAATATATTATATATACCAGCATATTCTGGTAGAAATATTTAAAATATAAATAATTAGTAATATCTGTAAGATTATATATAAACAAACCTTGGAATCCTCCACACTCTTCATAGATGATATATGAAGCGTAGCCCATGCTGCTGTACAAAATTGTCCAGGCTGGGCCGAACACCCACTTGGGGGGGTTCCAGCTGGGTTTCTTCAGGTTATCATACCATGCCTTGTCACCACCTTCCTTGCGGATCTGGCCAGCGAAGTACAGGCCGTTGGCCCATCCACCCAGGTTGGGCAACACAATGGAACCGAGAGCAGGCCAGTTTGCCATCACGAAGTCTTGTACGCTGAAACAGATTCATATTTAAATGTTAGAAATTGGTAAATTATATAAGTATTATAATCCTCTTGCAAATTTTCCTGTAAAGTATCAGAAGTAATAAAATCTGTAACGTTTGTTACCTAAAAGTATTGGAAACTAAATGTATGCAAAAAGAATTGAATTACTTAGATTTTTAATTAATAGTATTTTTTGCCTTCAAACTTAAGCAAGCCACCAACAAAAACAATATTATAATATTTTTTTATAATTATATTAAATTTATCACCCATTCGCTGCCATTGTAGACAATACCCAAAAGAGGACTACAGAATAATGACTATTTTAATTAAATCTGTCAATTTATTAAGAATAACAATTTAATTATGTCAAGTCACAATGTCAATGCAGAGTTTAAATTTGCTATTAAATAGTGACTTAGCTTGAAAAACTGTCATGAAACTGATTTAAAAAATTGTCAAGTCATACTGTTTTCCTGGTATGAGAGTTATATACCTACCTACACTCTTTTTTACTGAACTAACAATTAATAATGTTATGAATAATCCCAAATAGTTAGTTTCACAGGAAAATCCCAAAATTTTAATATTTTATGATAAACCCATGGTTGACAGTCAACTTGAGTCAACAGTCACAACTGACTGTAAATACAAATATCCTTCTTCGCACAAGTTTCCGACTACAACATTTCTAAAATTTTCTTTAAAAAATCCTCCTCTTGGTAATGAAAAATAAAAAAGAATCAGCAAAATTCATCCACACATTATTGACTTTTACGCTTACAAAGACATTTTTCCATTCACTTTGATATACATGGATAGATAATAATATATAACAAGCAAACGGAACACTCCATGATAAGTGACAAGTTACACCCATAAATGGAATATGTACTCAAATGATGTAGAATTTTTCTTTAGAACATATCTACAATACAAGGACTATGTGGGTACATCGTGTAGTAGTACTTCATGACTTGTACAATACAAAAAATAAATTATGAAGATTATACAACAGCCTTTAGTATGTTTTTGCTCTACCTAAATCAATTATTGCTTCAATGTTATATCATGACCTAGCTAATTTTGTCTACTGATAACACACTTAGCGACAATGAGCCCACCTCCAATATTTTTATGATACTCCTAAAAATTATCAATCAAAAGATAAAAACATTATTGACATTACATAATACGAGTATGGGATGTTTTTATTATCAATATTGTTGCCTTTTTATCTACAGAACTTTCCAGCAATATTTTGAAATAATTTTGTTTATGTAAATATAACATTAATCATCTAATAATCTCTGAATGTAAGTTTGTTTGGTATTTTAATTGAATGACTATTATTGTATCACTGTCCGTCATTGTCCACCATAACACAGGACATGACTCCGTAAAATAGGATTAGCTGATGAGTAAAGTTATTGTACTAATGGTGACAAAAGTGCATGGAGAGCTGAAGGTCTTGCGTTATGCAAAACCTGTCAGTCAATATTCGCCCACTAGATGGCGCTGCTTATAAATTAAAATATACATTTATGACTTATATTACAAATATGAAACTTTGTATGGATGGATATTTATTACTCAACAACTACTGAACAGATCTAAATGAATATTGGACAGTAGATATATTATAGTCTGGAATAACACATTGACTATCTTTTACCCTGGTACTTTAAGTACATAGTATGGGTGATGCTGCTGAGAGAATAGTGTTTATAATAGAATAGAATTAAATAGATAAATGAAATAATGAGACCATGGACTAGTATAATATAGATATAGATAGCTTCACCATTATATGGTCATCATAAAAAATGTAGGTAGATGTGCACATGCCTCTCATTTTGACTTCATGATTAGCACAAATGCTGAGCCACCGGTTGCCATGCAACATTTCACAAGTACAATTCCTACATAGAAGAATATTCTTGTGTGATCCACAATTTGTTCTTGGTCTAGGCGTGACGGTTGCTTGTAAATGTAAAGATGCCACAGAAATTTCTAACTTAGGACCACTTTTTTTAAAGACCAAAACATGTCTGCAACTTTTAAACTTTTGAAAAGTTAGATAAATTACTGAAAGCATTTGTTTCTTAAAGTGGTAGCATATGTATGACTGTGAACCCTAAACAAACTTTTCTATATTAGCATACAAAGACAATTAGAAACTGTGTGAAATGTTAAACTTTCCAGTCAAAAGAAATCTTGCTTGTTATAGGAGTACAGAACTTTTAAATGAAATTCAACTCTATTTTGAAACCAATAGAGACTGTATTTCATGTATGTGATGGAACACAATTAGAAATAGAAGTTCTACACTAATTAGAAATCTAAACGGATTCAGTAAAAAACATGTTTTGTTAAACATCAATGCTGTTTTTAATTAGTTACGTCTTATGTTCTTTTTTTATCAACCATTTGTAGGTTTGTATGAAATAATTTAGGAATGATGGCTAGAAAACTGAAAATTAACTTTATTAAAAACAATACCCCATAGTTTTGTGTAAAAGTCTAGATTATTCTGTCTGATAAAGTGAACAATTCTGCAGCTAGTACAACACTTAGTAGTTAAGTTGATCTTAACTTCAATTTGATAGATTAATATACCTACTTACAAAAATGTTTGTGAGTATGTAACATTTTGTTGCATGTAATTCTTAAAATCTTACCTGGTATCTGCCATAGTGACTACCTACCTATTACTCTTATAATATAAAATATTCACTTTTTACCGTAATTCACCACTCGACTGTTAAAACAACTACACAAATAACAGTATTATATTGAAATTATCATACCTTTCCAACTCCATTCTTACTAATTCTTTTCGACAGACACTTGAGATAACAAATCAGTACTTATACCGTGTACGCCGCTATTCACAATTTAAATTAATGATAATAAACTGAAATCGCTCACAAAATATCGATTAAAGTCCGTGTGTCGCCGATTGATTAGATAATATTAAACAAAACTCACCAGCAATAGTAATTGGACACCTAATTTTGAGTAAGTGACGTAATTTTCGCTATTATCAACAATGATTGAGCCAAAATTCCAATGTAGTTAAGTTATTCGTGAGTGAGTGAGTCTCCCGTATCCATTACGCAATTTATTTACATTTTAACCGGTATTATTCTAGAAAGGTAAGACACAATTGATGTAAAAAGTTCTTGTACTTACTGGCTTGTGTTATATATTCCAAAATCTGGTGGTAAACGCAGAAAACGTCTCGTAAATGTGAAAACAAAAATGTAAGACCGAAATCAGCTACCCGGAACAAATATTATGGTACAAAATTAAGAAATGATGGAAGTAGAATAAAGTTTGTGAAAATAATGGGCTAAATGGGCTTTTCAAATTTGTAGCATTATACCTAGTGACGTAATGTCACTATTGTCAGATGACTGCATCGTTCCGTTTTGTGTAAGATGCATGTTTCCGTATCGTCAATGTAACAACTATTTTATATTTCTAATATATCGTATCATTCTAATGTCTATATCAATAACTTTTTTTTTTATATCTGAATGTGGTTCCACTTATCCTCTTTTTTTACGTTTGCTTAATACGGACTTTGCCCTATGGAAATGGAAACAAAGATAACTAAATGAAAAATCGATAGCAAGTAGTTAAAAACGGAACGCAGTTAGCGTATACGTAAGATGTTTACCAAGTACCGGCGAGTACCGACAGGGTAATAAATTCAACAATCCTATTAATAACCTATTTGATCTTAGCGGGAGGGAAGCCCAAAACGGAATGTTTTTTTCTCAGAATACAGTTTTTTTTTATAAAAAACAATTTTCAACCACAAGCGATTAATGAATTAGGAGCTTAGCTGAGCAACATACCTATCTACCACCCTAGTTTAGGTTCAAATTCAAGTCGGCAAATTACATAAAAGCAGCAAGCAAAATATACTTAATCTTTATTAATACTTACCGCAATAGAGAGATACACTCACGCTATTAAAACTTTAGGAATACTAAACTAGGAAGTGTAGGTACGTAAACTTGGTATGTAACGTTAGAATTAAGTACAATTCAACGACCTATAATTGTTTAATTAAAATTCATACAACGTTAACTCTACAGGCACAATGGTCAACTGGGGAATGATTGGGGCCATAATAACGCCCAATGTTGGCGGTTGGGTTGGCGCGCTCACGATGAGTGGCAAGGTCAAACAGCCTGATGGGAAAGCGTGGTACCAGACGTTGAAGAAGCCATCTTGGACTCCACCGTCATGGCTCTTTGGCCCTGCTTGGACAGCACTATACAGCGGCATGGGTTACGCTTCGTACCTCGTCTATACCGAGTGTGGCGGTTTCACAGGTAATAATAAATAAGTCATACTTATTTGAATTGTAGTCAATTTTTAAATATGATATAAACTTCACAATTTTTTATCAGATGATGCTGTTGTTCCACTGGCGTTGTACGGTGGTCAACTGCTCCTCAACTGGAGCTGGACACCTGTGTTCTTCGGAAAACAAAAAATGGGACTGGTAAGCTTCTAACTTTTTGTGGAAAATTAAATACAATAGGGAAGTGTCCCGGAAAAATCGATACATTAGAGTCCTGCAAAAAAATCGTATCACTTCTTCCTAGCGACATCAGAGTCCGTTTAAAAACACTGAGTCTTCTCGGATTAAAGTCTAACCTAATTCTGCAGTAAATAGATACTTACCTATGTCAATTATGTTCCAGGGTCTCGCCAACATGCTAGCACTGGACGCCGCAGCAGCAGCTTGCACGTACAGCTTCTACAACGTCGACCCGACCACCGCCTACTTTATGGTGCCTTACCTCGGCTGGCTGTCATTCGCGACCTGCCTCAACTACTCAATATGGCAGCGCAACAAACCGAAACCCAAAATGTAAATTACTGGCTTTAATTTTTCAAAGAAATTATAATAAAATCATTTAAATGTTTAAGCCAAAGTCAATGTTTACGCATATCAGAAATACCAAAACGGACCTCAACAATTCCACTATTTTAGATTACGACGACAAATCCTAAAGGTTTACGACAAATAGCAGCTCCGGAAAATGCATTTTTAAGTACAAGTTAATAAGAACTAGGCTAAATCTATCATTTATTCCTATTGAGACACGTAGAAAAGACAGCTCTGTAAAGTTTTTTTTCACTAACTATAACATTGCTTTAGTAAAGTTGATGGCGCCGTTGGGTTCACACACATTACCAATACGAATATCTGTCGGTCAGTCTTTTACTAATTTATAAATAGCACAAGAGCAGCTGTGTAATAGGAGTAGGATAAGAGTAGTATACCTATGGAAAACAACAAGCAAGAAACCGAGATTATTCGTTCAATCAAGGCTGTTGTTTTAGCGTTGACTAGATGGCGCTGATGTAGCTTTAAGTCCACCCTCTCTATCTGACTTAAAGTTACAGCCTAACCAATAGCATTTCATTTTCCAATAATCTATTGTACGAGAGACCACCTAGAGCCGCTCAAATCAAATACAAGCCCAATAAATAGACTTGATAATCAATTTAAATCATTACATATGAAGTACCTGTTAAGTTTACTGCCAAATATACCTCAAATACAGTAAGAAAATAAAATGACAATGTGAATTTTTAGTATTTAACATTTTTATTTCACTTATTTCAATAAATAAACTAACATTATTTCATGCGTTTTAATTTATTTAATTCGCCCTGTTGTATTGATGCCTCCTTGTAGATCTGTTTCACTTTCTCTTTTCTTATGTTGTCGCTGGAAAGAGACAAAAGATTTATTAGCACCTGAGAGCATTAACATTCGAAGTTATAGGTGGTTTTCCAACTGTTTACAATTATGCGGGTTTGAGGGTCAAGCGCAATAAGGTACTGCGGCCTCGGCCTGGAGAAGGAGAAGGGACGGATTTAGTCAGTAAAAGTCTGCCATTCCCTTTCGCCTTACCTTGGGCTACAGAAACCATTACGATAATATCCTTCTCAAAAAAAAGTGTACATATAAAATATTAAATTATCAAATATTTAAAAAAGTGACAAACCGATATAAGCGGTTATTTATGCCATCTGAGGGCCTTATTTCAGTCTCTTATAAAAAAACGAAAGGAATGGAAATATTTTTTATTCCACAACATCGAGGAAACACGTGAGTTACCAGCCTTTTCGACATTATGGATTTGACTTATGGTGGATTTGGTAATAGGGAACGACTTAGCAACCCCACTTATGCAGCGGGACAAAACAAAAGCGTTGTTTCAAGCCATTATTTGCAAAATTCGAGCTGGCCCCTTCGTTTCACATACAGATTGACCTGTTTTTTTGTGTGTCGAAAACTATTAAATAACTTCTTCCGTCCAGGGTGAGGCGAGAGGGAGTATCAGACTATTACTGACTAAAAACACCCCCATTCTTTCTCCTGCTCTAGGCCGAGGCCGCGGTGCCTATTACAGGTTGCTACCTTTATAATAAGATGTTTGATAACTTACCCATGTATCTTCTGCCGTATCTTGACGGAACCGATGAAGGATTTGTCTCTTCTGATCTCTCTGAGAGCTCCCTTCATCTCCTTCTTGTATTTAGTCTTCAGCCGCTGGGATTCGGCTTGTTCCCGAGACAATTTGGCACTCTTGCTACCCGTAAACCTGTGAAAAAGAGGACATTTTTAGTAGGAATTGTTTTCTGATACGGCGGCAAACGACCAGACCGATAACCTGATGGGAAGCTTCTTGCTTCTTGGAGATGAGGGGAATTGGGAGCTTAGATGGCTTCTTTGTTTAAATTCTGTTAATAACTGTAACTCATGTATCATATGTAATGGCGTTATTATTTGCCATAACTACTTTCATAATACTGACAAATATTTTTTAATTACGCATTATTGTAATTTTAAATCAAAGGCGTCTTAATTTTTACGCAACAGACTGGAGAACAAGACCGATTTTAGTATCTAATTTGTTGCCAAATTGCTTTTTTTTATTCTATTTTAATTAGGGGGTTTTATCCACATGGATACGTCAACCCTATTGTAGCTTATACTCTATTTTGTCACAACCATACAATAAATATATAATAAAATATATGAGGCTAAGTATCTATAAACTAAATTATATGAAAGGCCAAATTGCTTCACAATCGGTTTAACCGTTTAGGAGTTAAAGCACAATAAATGATCATCATAAATGTATACTTACACTTCTTGTACATCCGGCTCGTACAGCCTTAAAGCTTTCGGCCTCTTCTTCTCTCTTGTAAGAGGAGTGAACGTCTTCATCTCCAACCCAGTCTTCATATACTTAATAATCTGATTCGCCCTATTAGCAACCTTTGGAGGGTACAAATCCAAGTCTATCCTACCAACCATCTTCAGATGAGGCTCAAACAAATAAACCTGTGCCTCAATATCATTAAAATAATCAAAAAATTCCTTCAAAATCCCCATACTTGTCGATAAACAACGTATTTTAAAATCATTATTGATTTCCGTTAAAGTAAAATCCCGCGCCGCCATCTTGCCTTCGACGTCCATTTTCGAACAGTCTTCTTCTAAATTCAAAATTTTAGAATCTTTATGTAATCTAAAAGGCGGTACTACTTGTATGGGATTTAAAACTGTAACGTTAGCGCTTAAATATAAAATACCTCTTAAAAAGTTAATTGCAGCTGGTACTAATCTTTTTGATAAAATTGTGTATTCTAAAATGAGGGTAGTTACAAATAATCCTCTTGATATTGAGTATGCGTCGTTGAACCTACATGTAGTTAAGATTTCGGACATAAATATCATAGATGGCGTTGTGATCGGATGTCGGAAATCTGACGTTGGATATATTAAAGAAATTAATTTGAAGAATATTAACGTGTCCATGTCAGGAACGCGTTTTTGTCGCTTTTTGTACTGCCCATATTTTTCTTTTAGTAACTCTGCCATGTATTTTTTAGAGGATACCTTGTTTGTTTGTGATAGATCATAGAAATATGGGGCAAGCCTGTCGAAGACGAGAAATGCTTTGATGACGTCACTTTCTTCCTTTAAATCGGTAAATAAGTCATTAACATACTGTAACATGTACGCAAATAGTTTTGTTAGTTTATCTTTATTTTTCTCTGATAGACTTGGATCGTAGCTTTTTATTAAGTTTTGTAGGGCGGTTGATTGTTGAGCTGGTGTCTTTCCACTTAATAATTCCTAAAATAAAGAACCAATTTTATAAACTTTTGTAGGGTTCAAGAAGAAGCCATTTATTATTTAGCGGTATTTTTATGATCAACTGTAATATAATATGTATTATAAATCTGAAGAGTTTGTTTGCTTTAACGCACTAATCTGCGGATCTACTGGTTCGATATATATATTTTTTATGTTGGATAGTCCGTTTAAAGAGGAAAGCTATAAGCTAAAAACATCAGGCTACGACCAATAGGAAGCAGGCATTGGATGTTAGTAGCTAGTTATGCATAAACGCCAAAATAATATTTACATTTGTAGAGATCAAACAATTGTATGTCTAGACTATAATAAAAAAATCTTTTTCTATCAGCTATGAAAGGTTTTTGGTCAGTGGGTCATCTAGGGGGCGTTTCTTTACTGGCTTTTTCTAACCCAATAAGAACTAACTGCAGAAAAATAAGGCCTAAAGGTGGATTCTCGTACACTTCTACTTTTCACACTTCTACTTTCTATGTAAACTTTCTATAAATTTACGAATAAGATTTAATGTCACCACTTACCTTCAATTTATCCCCTTCCCCATCATCAACATCAAAGAAGGAACCAATCTTCTCAACATCTTCCGGTACCTGTTCTTCTTCACTCTCCACATCAGATTCCTTCAAATCATTTAGATTATTCAAGTCTATTTCATTTTCTTCATCATTTTCATCATCGTCCTCATCACTTTCTTCATCACTGCCTTCCTCATCATCACTAGACTCATCATCTTCTTTCGAATTCTGAAATAGTACTGTGTTATCTTCTTCGATTTTCTTCGATTTCTTTTCTTCTACTTTATTTCCATTCACTTTTGGTTTTTCTTTAGCTTTACTTTTGACATCTGGTTTTATATCTTCGCTGTCATCATCAGTAGCTTCATCATCATCATCAGATTCATCATCGTCTTTATTAGAAACTAATTTAACTTTGTTTTTATCTTTTGATTTGTTTTTCTTATTACTATCTTCACTTTGATTGCTGGCATTGGATTCATTATCATTTTGTTCTTCATTCTCCTCATCATCACTGTCATCATCCCCTTCATCTTCTTCATCAGAAGTATCTGATATTCCATCGTCGAACTTGGGTTTTGCATTTGGAACTAAAATTATGACAACAAAGGTTAAAAATGATTATGCCTTTGACTGCCAGTAGAAAAGAACTATTGGAGGCTAATTCTTCACTACTGGAGGTGACCTATAACCTGTTAGCATACTTCATAATAATATCAATGAAGATCATATATTTTCGTTTTAACTGTGGGAGAGCCATGCTTCGGCACGTATGGGTCGGCTTGACCGGAGTTATACCACAGGAAACCGGTGTGAAATAACTACAGCGTTGTTTCACCGTGTGCGTTGCCGGAGGATCAATCCATATCCCAAAAAAGTTGGCAATGCGCTTGTAATTCCTCTGTTGTTGCAGATGTCCATGGGCGGCGCTAATTGCTTACCATCAGGTAATTAAGCAGCTCGTTTGCCATCTTATCACAAAAAAAAATGTATTTATACTTTTATTATTAGTAATCTCCTATTTATTCTCATAAACTAGTATAAAAATAATAAAATTAATTATCATACCGGAAAAATCCTTTAAAACTTTCTCAGGAACCAATGGTTTGCCATCCTTGTCATAGGCAAGCATAAAATCATGTTCATCATCAAGCTCAAAATTGTCATCCAAGTCCTCAGCTGATCTGAAATGTTACAATTAAAATAATACCAAGGTACCTTGAAAACCGCAGCACTAGTGTAGAGTATTCATTTGTTTCAAGTCTATCTATACTTGCCATAGTATGAAACTATGACCAAGTGAGATGACAATGCAGTCAAAAAAATGTTTCCTCTAACGCAAGACTATCTAAAGATTATATTCTCGTTGATAAATTTAATTTCAAGTTTCATTTTAGTATTTTTCTACTTCATTTAAAAGAAAAAAGTAGTCACAACTTTGTAATAGTTTACATATTATAAAGAGGCAAAATTTTTAAGTTAGTATATAGGGGGTAATCTTTTGAACCATATTGGTTCCAAAGATTTTCCAAAGATTACCCCAGAGCAGCTAGTCCAAGCTTAATATTATAAATGCGAAAGTAACTCTGTCTGTCTGTCTTTTCTTCACGCCTGAGTACTGCACCGATTCCTGTGACATTTGGTACAGACATAGTTTGGAACTCGAGAGATAGTTTTTATACAAACTATCCTGCTAGAAGTCACTATTCCACACGAACGGAGTCGCGAGCAAAAGCTAGTCTTAAATATATCATTGCTGACATTTCAAACAGTATTTAAGTTTTAAGAACTTTGAAATAACACAGTACCTATGTTTAGTTGTAGTCTGTTTGCTTTTAACGGCAATCTGCTCCTCTTCTCCCAACATCCTCATTTCTCTTTCCTTCTCCAGCTGTTCTAATCTGGCCCTCTCTTCTTTAGCTTGCTTTTCATCCGTTTTTAGACCATCTGAAGGCTAAAATGCAAAAAAAACAATATCTATGACACTCAATCATGCATCTCAGAAAATATATCTCTACAATCAAGAAAAAACCTGGGGACTGATCCAAACAGTTTGTGTAAACTTTACTTTAGTATAGTTTTTATAAAAAAATATTGGTATTTAGAATATGTGTTGGATTCCATGGACAAAATAGAGGAGCATCAAACAGAGGTTTTATAAAAGCAGTTTTCTTAAACTTATATTAAATACATCTACTTACAGTGCCTCGCTTCTCAAACTTAAGTTCCCTCATCATCTTATCATAGTCCATACTTTTCTTTTCAGCTTGACTTAAAAGCTTCTCAATAGCAGATTCTTCTGTCTTCATCTTCTTAAACACAACAGGTTGGAGATCTTTCCACTCAGTGTCCAATTTCTCTGTTAGATCTAGAGTTTGTTCTTTTTCCTTCTGTTTCTCTGCTTTTCTCTTCTTAGATTCAGCTATCAACTGCTCTATGAGGTCTTTATGAGATTTAGCACCATCTTTGGAGTCAGTTTTAGATAGCATTCCTCCACCAAAATGTCCATCTGCCACAAACTCATCTGGGGAATTAAATATCATATTAATAATTTTGTTATTTTTATATTAGGGATCTTATGAATATGAAATTTCGGATAGCGATTGGATACAGATATAGGAATGATTGTTATACTGGATATGAAATTATTTCAGATTACCCATCTATAGTTTTGGATAATTTCGCTAATGGATATTAAAAATTTAATCTCACAAGGAAAGTACAAATATAATGTGTCTCAATTAGGTTCCGCCCCTATCTTACTTTACTTTTATTTTGGATTTGGTTACAGTATATTGGATATCTGATAGTTCCAGTTATAGATAGTTACAGAGCATCCCTGGTTTATATTTAGTATTCTGTAGTTTATAACTGCTTTATTAGAATTTAATTACAAATTATTTACTTACCACCAAGTCCACCAAACTTTCTGCCATCTTCATCTTCCTCATCATCAGATCTGGGATCGTCGAACTTTTCAATCTGCTCTAATGTTTGACCCCTGAAAAAAAATATTATTAGATTTTATTATTTGTTTTTGTGCATTCACCAGGCCATAAGAAGATCAAAAAGTTGCTTAAGCAAACTTAGAGAGGCAATCCTTTAGAAAAGACCTGTATACAGGTATTTTTAAACTCTTAATAGTAGTCAGTTGAGTCACAATCGTTGCACAACACTGGAATTCACTTGGGGTCTTAATGAATTAAAACAAAGATGCTTTATAGAAGTTAATTAAAAGAATTCTGATGTTAGTTTAAAATAAGTTAAATAAAATGCAGATATGATTGTCTACTAACTTTACTTAAAACACAAACCTGTGAGTTAAAACCTCATCATCAGCGAGATTGTAAATATTCTTCTTATTATGCTGCTTTGCACGTTCAGCTGCGAATCGGGCCACCATACGCTCTTCCGCTGAGAGCTGAGCGCTCTTTTCTCCAATACGACGGTCAATAAACGCATTGGTCTTATTCATTAGCTTCATTTCTGTGCCTAACGTCTCCTTTCTCTGTGTGAAATAATGATTTTTTTAAAGAATAGTAAAGTTTGAGTTAGTACGGAGACTGGTTATGTGACCTTACGCAAATTACGGATTTAAATACCATAAACATCGCGATCTTCGATGTTAAAAAGTGACTTGGATCAATTATTTATTAAAGAAATTACCTTCTGTATAGCTTTCGCTCTCGACACACCAGGTAACCCTCTGTCATGCTTAGACTTCTTACCCAAAACTTTAAGTTTCTCCCTGTTAATGTGGACTTCGAAAGGATTCAGTTTCTTCTTGTTTATCTCATTTTTCTTTTTGTTATGAACTTTGTCTGCGAGGCCCGAATTTCTCTTATTTTTCACTTTAGCCATTGTATCTAATTAACTTCTCACTCTTATTTAAAAGAATAAAATCAAATCAAACTGCTGTACGGCGTGAACCAGTGATACAAATAAGGTTAGGATTTTGACATTGACACAAAAACAACACATGCGTGGTTTTGACATTTCAAAGGATGCGTTTAGTTTAATTAAAAAGTTATGGAATAAAATGTTATTGAGTTATGGACTAAAAATTAGTTAAAATGTATACTAACATCGAACGATTTTATGTTTACGTATTTGATTGATAAATTAATTAGATTATGCAAAAATAAGAATTAAGGATAATATAATAAATTAAATAAAAAATCGAACGTAGCCATAATAATTTCTACTGCAACTAGCGCCGGTTTTCACATTTTTGCAAATGTCATCTTGTAACAGCTGACTTTAGAGTGCATTTTTGATGCAATTTTCATTGAAATTGAAACGTGATTGATTTTAGTTCTGTGCGTTGTGGCTGTGTGCGCTAGTGTTTACAAAAAGCTCGAATTTTATTGGGTAAACTCAGCCGAACGAATAGCTCCGAAGTTGTATTCGGCTAATTTCGCAATGACGCCGTGTTGCACATAGCGCGTAGGTATATTATTGTGTGGCTAGCAGGCTTGCCTTTTCTGATTCTCAAGAAAGAAAACTACTCGTTCAAGTAGAAAAAATGTCAGATTCCGAGACAGAAATCAGCGAAGAAGTACTTCAAAAAGAAATTACAGGTTAGCGATTGATTTTATTAGTATTATTGGCTCGGAAAATATCTTTTGGGTTATAAAATTTTGACTGCCGGGCTATGTAAAATGGCTTCCTACATTGAAATAAATGTGAACTTGTTTCAGCTAATGTTTTGATCTAAATATCTCTGAAAATACGATATGTATGCAAATTTATTGCATGCGAAAGTAATAAACCATAAAAAATTACGATTGTACCGTTTTTGTTTTTAAGTTCAAGTATTAATATTCTTAATTTGTCGTGGGTTTATTTTACATAGGCGGTATAGGAATTCTCTGAATAGGTACTTAATATTTTATCGAGATTATAATGTGTTTAATATTATTGCTTTTATAAATTAAGTATCAGATTATGAAATAAATATATTTAAAATATGTATAATGTATTCACGATAAAAATATAATAAAAACTTTTGTAAACTAATAATCTGAAAGAAGGCTACAAATCGATACTCTCATTATATACTACCAAATTACTTAAGAAAAGGTGTTTAAAACTTATTATTAATTATTAACCTAATACTTATCCACAGAAATTTTAAAACATGCAAGCCTTGAAAATACGTCGACCAAGAAGGTTATACAAAAACTGGAAAAGAAGTTGGGAGTGGATCTGTCAAGTAAAAAGAAAATGATTGACCAAATAGTTATGGATATTGTTAATAATATGGAATCGGAAGATGAAGATATGGATGAATCTAGCGATGAAGAACCAAAGAAGAAAGCACCTCCGAAGAAGGTCAAGAAAGAAGACGACGATGAGGATGATGAGGAACGGGATGACAGCAATGACAGTGATTGGGGGGTGAGTAGAACTTTAACCAAAGGACTTTATTTTTCAGCCTTATTTTAACTCAGCTGCGAGAGCTGATCTAACCCTTCTACAGAAAGAATTTTTGCAGAAGAGTCTAATGACAAATTATTAAAACTACATACACATATTTAAATAAAATGAAACAATAAAATAATTTTCTATTTGAAGTTAATAAAAATAAAATTTAATTCTCCAATAAACTTATCAATCTAAATATAATTTCAATAATTTCTAATTACTAGGTGATATGCAAAACAAAAGATCAATGAGTACCTACTTAAAAGATATCTATAATGTAGTACTAGAGTATTAACTAATTGATTTGTTATTGTTACCTTAAATGAGAGATAATTTCATTTATTTTCCATATGAAATATATGAAAATTAGTGTCGGTTCTGAGAATATCAGTTTAATTAGCATTTTGTAACATCATTAAGATTTTTTTATTTTTCCTTCTAAGACAAAATTAATAAAAAATAAATTAGATATTCTAATTTAATAACATCTCGGAGTTAGCGAGGCTTAAACTTTTTTCCCATTCACACATGACAAATTTCAGTTGAAAAAATGTGCAGTGCTTCTAAAATGGAATTTAAATATTTTAATTTCCAATCTCGAGGTATGTAGCGTTGTTTAAATTTATTAAATAAAAAGAGGTCATTATATTGTAGACCTTTTTTCATAACCATTTGTCATTTCATGCAGTGCCAGATTAAGCCAGCGCGGGGCCTGTAGCAAATTCTGTCAAGGGGCCCTTGGTTTGCTAACGGTTCTCAAAAAGGTATTAAATAAAACAAAACTTTTACAAATTTAGCGATTACACTTTCAATATCGACTTTTTTAAGCAAGTCATGGTCTATATTCAACAACGTGAGATGATTAAGACGTTCTTGGTCCATAGTGTTCCTTAATTCATTTTTAATTCGTTTCAACGTTGAAAAAGAACGTTTGCCACTGCAGTTAGTGATCATGAGAGATAAGTAAATACGCAAAGCAATTTCAAAATTTGGGAAACACGATTCTAAAGAATTATTTCATAAAAGTTTATAAAATTGCAGTTCCAGAGGCTCCTGTTTCTTGCTGTCAATTACAGTAGCCATATCTGTTTTCAGCCACTCTACGAACTGCACTAATTCGCCGTTCTCCAAATCATCTTCGTAAGCACTGAACATCTTTGACGATTTTTTCAAAATCTCTTCTAATCCGTACAGATGCAAAGTTCTCATCAATATAAATGAATTAAATCCAAGCACAACATAATTACTCCAAATATTCAAAGAGATCTTACGACAGTCTTCCTGCTCCATCATCAGATTTACTCCATAACTTCATTGTAACCCATAAAGGTGCAAAGTTTTCATCGATATAAATGAATTAAGTCCAAACACGAGGTAGTTACTGTGAACCGTTCAGGAGTTCCCTAAGCTGTCCTTCGTTCTCATCTTCAGACCCATAATGGCAGTCACGACCAATCTTGGTGCAAAGTGCTCACCAATAAGAATTATTCAAGCCCAAACACAAGATAACTAAATCAAACAATCAAGGAGATCCTTCAACTGTCTTCCGGCTCCATCATCAGGTCAAGTTCGATTATCGGCAAGTTGTAGCACTACTCGCCCCTACAATTTTCGAAAGTTCCCCTCGGTTTCCCTAGGATTCCATCATCAGATCCCGACCTCACGAAAATGGGACCCTCTCGGGAGTAAGTATAACCTTTCAAACAAAAGAAGAATTTTGGAAATTGGTTTATAAAGGTTTTAGTCAAAGGAAAGTGTATATCAATTTCTTATTGTTTGATAGTCAATAGAATCCTAATTTATTTGTTCGAGTTACGGCTAGCTCGATCGATGACAATATCAGGGAATTCCCCAAATGGTTTTGCAGTGTTGCCAACTTGTGCTTAGGGCAGTGCAAGTAGTACAACACATAACGTGTGTGTAGCCACACACACGTTATGTGCGCTCAATTTATTGTTGTTCATTTTATACCAACGTTTTTCGTGATAGATATTATACCTAGAGGTGAAGCGGAAATAGCCGTGCGCGCAGTTCGCGTCGGCTCGGTTCGCCCGCCAATGGCACCAACCGAGCGGACAAATACTCGCTTTCCTTTTCTTACACATACAAAATACCGAATATTTGTCTTTTTTTGTTTATTTTGTTAAGAACAAAATCAAATTACTTGCAGTTTGGTAGTAGTTTTGTAAACAAGACATTTTCTACATATGTCTTGCTGTTGAAGTGGTGTAATTATGAAATACCTATTTGAGCGCGGGGCCCTCCAATCCGCGGGGCCCGTAGCATTTGCTACTCTTGCTACGTGGCTAATCCGGCACTGATTTCATGCATCTTTATTATCTGTGCTACATACATAACCATAAAGCTTATTAACCATTGTTTTTTTTTATGTTGCCTGATTTAATCATTAGCATCTAGCTATTATTTTGAACATAGATATACTTGACATAACTATGTAAATAAATAGCTTTTAATAATAATTACTTGATTTTATAATAAGCACTTCCTTATAGCAACTGTAGTGCCAATTATATTAAAGATACGCACGTTGAAATCACGCTTCTGCATTGTTAACAAATTACAAATATTGCTAATGGTCCTTGTTGTCTGTGCTTGTGGCAGAAATGAAATAATTTACAGGGAAATTATCTTGTGAAGAACAATTCATCTGTCGTAATTCATAGTAAAACTTGGCATATATTTTAGATTGGCCCATTGATGTCACTTAATTCTACATCTGCACGTACCCGCAATAGTTGCACTTTCATTACGATTTTCCATGCACCTCCATTAACTACCAAATTGATAGGAAAAGCTACTTGAATCGGTTTTATTTTATTTACAGAGTGACGTCAGGCGAATATTTATGAACAGTGAGTGTTCAGACGAGTGCTCTTGCACGCCACAAGACCCACACATCCCGATTAATATCAAAAGACGTATTATAAGGAAGCACTTCACTGACCAACCGAGGAAGGGGTTGATACTCAAGAGAGTTGGACCAAACTATTCCGATGATGAAACTGACCTCTTTGGTAAACTTACAGCTAAGAAATTGCGCAGACTGCCAGAACATGACCGCGATTTAATGATGTTACAGATTAATCAAATGCTTCATAATAAAATTTATTCACTTAATGTACCAAAGGAGAGTAAAACTACACAAACTTCTCCATTAACCTCTCAGTTTCAAACGAAGAAATTGTACCGTGTGAATGCTATCCCAAACTTAAATGTATCTCCAAGTAAAACTGACAGTGTTCCAACACCACCAGCTTCTGAACCAGTACCTGAAGTTACTCCTAGTAAGGAATCTTTAGAAAATAATACAGATGCTGGTCATATTTGTTCTATTATGTAATGACTCTTCACATTACAACTTACATATAACAATTTCATTTTTAATAATTGTTTTCCGAAAGAAGCGTATGTGTTCAGATCAGAAAAAGTTAGTTTTGTCATTAGTAATTTGTTTGGTACAATATGAAGTAAAATGTTTCTTCAATGCAAATGAATTACAGATATTCTAATATATACTTTGGGAGAGAAAGCAACGATTATAGCTTTACTCTTAATATTACTCATTAGGAAGCGATAATCATCCGAATACTCAACTCGTATAGCAGGTATTTTCGAAACTAATAAGTCTGACTTAGAAAGTTTAAAGTTCCTTGCCGTTACATTTGAGATAATTAGGAATTTAGGTTAACACCACAGATAATTATAAGTAATCTAAACTAATGAAGTTGGCTGTGCAGAAAAAGTATTTATAAAGAAAGCTGTAAGCGAAATTATATATAATAATATATTTTTTATACCTTTACATTTTTTTAAAGAAGATTTTGATGTATTATATTTTTGTACAAGAGTTATCATAAAGTTTAAAAAATCAAGAGTTATCTAAAGTAATTTACGATTTACTCATTAACCCGTCGCGAGACAATACGTTTTCTATTGTGTCTCATATACCGGCAGTCAAAATGTTAATCCTATTCGAAGATGCTCGATAAGTTTCGTCGCGCACCTAACCTATGCTTATGAATCCTAGCATGGTTTGAAATTAATCGAACATCCTTGAATAATTTGCATGAGGAAGTCGTACATGTTATTTTTAGCAAACCGCAAATGGTATGATAAACTCAAAAAATATGTATTTAATTTATAAGTTAGTTTCTAAGCAAAGTCAAAGCTTGAACGCTTTTTTCGCTCTAAAAATGTTCGATTTACGTGTGTGATTTTTAGTGTCTAAGTTAAACAACTAATGCTATGCCTTCTCTAAACTTTTCTAAAAAGTATAGGATCTTGATTTGATGCTTCCCATTTTGATCTATTTAAACGCCTTTAAATCTTCCATTTCGAAGCTTAAATTCTATTAAATAATTAGGAGTTTCGGGAGTTTTATTTTGGATAGTGTTTACTGTAACTTAGTTTTTAAGTTTTTTTTTTAATTTTGTAGGTCGGCAAACTAGTAGCCTCGTTTGCCGATTCGTTGATGGTATATTCGAGCAGAAACTTGCCTCTCACACAGTTGAAAAAAATGGAATTGAAATTAAAAGCCAAAGGTTTAACCATTACATGGTTATTGATGCATAGTTTAATATGTGTTCTGTGAAAAAGTAGAAAATAAGTTACTCTTAGTAAATAAGTATGTATTACTTGAATGAGTCACTGATTGATAAATCAGTCGGTGCCAAAGTTGTTTACGGGTGTAATCTTGGCCCCTAAAAAGTTTAACTTCACGAACCAGCGATTATTCTGCTAGCGTATCTTCACGACTCGTGAAGGAATCTATGAGTTTTTGAAAGCGCACCCGACGTAAGCTGGTACGCCGGCTTAAGTTCGCCGTGTGGAGACTCTTTCATAAGGTGGATAGCAACGACCCTCTGAATTGCAGAAATAGTGCCAAAGAATTATTATAGGGGTGTTTCGGTTTGTGAATATTCTTTAGGTACGTTTACACTCATGCCGAGACTTTGCAAACGTCCACAAGCTCCAAGCCTTAAACACGCGCCAACGTGTAAATGCGTCGCAAACACTTGATACAAATTTTACTTATCTGTCTCCAAAAACCGACACAGGCCGAATCACCGATAAGCTCTTGCAAGCCTTTCCAAACACCCTGTTCATACGCTTGTGTTTGTGGATGCTCGTCGAGACTTGCCAAGCGTGTAAATGTACCATTCGTTTTTCCACAGAGTCTGGTATAATGTCAGTTTGTTAGTATCTTTGAACCTCTTAAATGGAATCCGTTTTCCGTCCTGTCAATTTTTTTTGTACCTACTCAAGTATGGGAAAGACTTAATAGAGAAGTGAATATATTGTTTTGTAAGTGACTTTATTTATTGTTACTGCAGATGTTTTTTTAACGTAAGGCTAATCTCAAAGAATTGTATAGTATCGTTTCAGTACTAGATAAAGAATTTTTCATTTTAAATCCATACAAAATGTGCCACAATTCTATCTTTAGTGAAATCTAGGAATGTAAATCTTATTGTTAGTTGGTTACTAGGTCTACCGAGATCAGATCTCTTTGTTATATAATGTTATACAAAGGATTAGTCTTAGCGTGTTTTTGTATGTCTTTGATAATAAAATAAAGACTTTTTTCTTTAACTTGTCTGGTTTTATTGGTTTCATTTGAGCCTCCAATTAAGTAGGCTTGCCAGTGGCAAATATTTTAACTAGTTTTCGCTTATTTAGTTTTGTCAAAACCTCTTAATTTACATACCTACGTATTTATACAATTGGACATCAGAGGACTTAATGCCTAAAGCTTTTTCTGCCAGTTATCTATATACTATTAGAATTACTACATAGCATTTTGTGGAGAAATAATCTATACTACACAAAATGTTAAAGAAAAAATCAAATTGCTGAAAAACTGTTTCTGTTGTGACTGTGGCCTGGTTGATGCGTTTTTTTGATTGTGTAGTCATCAAATAAATAACCCCTCGCCTTGGACGAGGGCAGTGTCAAGGTCTTACTGACAAAATCACCCTGATCCTGATCCTGCTGCAGGCCTATTGCGCTTGCTCCGCATCACCGGCTGTGAATCCTCTTTTCGTTGTAGAAATGTAACAAAACATTTTATTATCTTCTAGTCTGGCGGCAAAAAGAAGAAGGGAGAAGAAAAGAAAAAGAAGTCTGCTCCCAAATCGAAGAAGGGAGTTGATAAGTCAAAGAAGGTGAGTGAGGAAATTTCATTTTAACATCTAAGTACAATAACTTCGTGCTGCTTGTACCTTTTTCACCAACAATATATTTAGTACGTTGCCTTGATAAAGATTTTTACAATAGGGTTGTTTCAAACTATTCAAATGCAATACTTTATCCTAAATGTCAAATACATACAATATTTTGAAATAGCACGTTGTGACGTCAACAATAATTTTACGTCAAATAGCAAACTTATATCTCTCTGGAATTATAAAAAAATACAAATATTATCGTAAAATTACATATTACAAGTATTACAAAAATATCTTTCCCCTAAATAAATCTATCATATTTTACAGGGCGGCAGTGTCAAAAAAGGTCGCAAGGGCAGTGGTTACACGAAGGCTTGCAAGCTATCTCCGGCTTTAGCAGAACTAATGGGGGAGAGTGAGCTGCCACGCCACGAGGTCGTGAAGCGAGTATGGGCCATAATAAAGGAAAAACAGCTCTTTGACCCCAAGAACAGACAATACGCTATCTGCGATAAAGCCCTGTTCAAAGTCATAGGAGAAGAAACGTTCCACACGTTCAGCATGATGAAGTACTTGAAGAATCATTTCCTCGACTAATTATGTAAGTCGTATATTTATGTTTAAGCTAGAAATGTTTTTAGTTTTGTTGAGACGCAATTTCGATGCTGTTATGGCGTGTTTCTCTACCTTGAAGGTAGATTCGCCTCTAGATAAAGAATGGTGGCGTTCGTTTTGTATAGAGCTTATCTACATCACAATTGGGTGGTTTCCTAGGTCATAATTTAATTAATTCGACATGTCAATACAATGAAATATTGAAAAATAACTATAAGTACTTTTATTCATCGATCGATCGATACATTAAGTTTTAGATATTTTATAGCGAATTATTAAGAAATTAGTAAGCTATTTGACGCAAGTATACTATGCCGTCTTTTTTTCTCCTTTATGGCAACTGAGTCTTCAGTGTTGTCGACTATTCTGTACTATGTCGTCATAACTCAGTTTTTCATATAGAAGTATCGTTTTTGACATTTGGATAAAAGTATTCATTTTGACTAGTTGGAATCTACCGTATTATGATGTACAGGTTATGGGAATTGGCCATAAGTAACGTTTGCGTCTTTAAATTATAAGGAACGTCTTCCGATGAGCTAAGCTTAATAACTATTTAATATGGGAAGGAAGGTTTTCAGTCAATTCTGTCAGAGGTTTATGACCAGCCAGTATGAAGCTCATCAAGACTTTTTTTTTAAATGTTTGTTGCAATTTTGTTTCCTAGAATTGTGATTATGATCGTTTTGCTAGCCATAGATTCCAGTTTAGTATTTTCTGGCTAGAATAATCAGTGTTGTATTCAATAATCGATTTAGTCATATCCACTCGGATTCATCAATTTCATAATTAATGATAATAATATTCGTTTTTGCATCTCGTTTAGGTAAATGACTCACGCCCAGTTTCCGTAAGGCCGATCTATGTTAAAATCAATTTAATCTCTTGTCAAGTCATCTGATTGGCTGACTGAATTATCAACAACCAATCAGATGACTTGACAAGAGATTTAACAGGAGATAAGTTAATTTTAGCGTTGACAAACCTTTCAGAAACCGGGTGTAATTTTCGTGTTTCGGTTTTAAAGCATAATAAACTATGTTTTAAGAATGCTCAAAATTAATTAAATTTAATCTAATTTTGAAAGTTTGCATTGTTCAATGCATTTATTGTTTTTAGTTTTATTGTGTATCAAATCACGTCTGAGTAAAAAATCTAAATTTGTATTTTTTTTCGTTCATAAAACAATATAATCTTTGGACGATAAATCATTTATATCTTAAGGTACATTGTGATGACTATTATAATTATTATTAATTAATATCGATCTATTTTACATGATTACGTCTAAAATAATCGTCTAGGTTATATTGAACTTTATTCTACATATAAAAAAAATCCATTTTGCATTGTATAGTCAATATTGTTATTGCGTATCAGATTAACCACTTACAATAATGATCCTTATGTTATTTTGTTAAGTGTTAAAATTATTTGAACGTGAATGTGTGTGCGTGGGATCCACAAATTATTGTTCCAGGTCTGGGTGTCATGTGTATGTGAAATTGTATTTGTAAACGCACACACGACACAAGAAAGTATCCTTGTGCTGGGTAACGTTTTTTTAAAGTAATGACTGTATAGTCACAGTAAATATACAGTAAAACATCTTCATACAACTTGCCTCTCTCGGTTTGAATGTGTGTCATGCTAGCATAATATATGGGGGAATAGGTGACGGCAGGGCGGGTTGTGAGCACGCCCGAACGCTACATGACCGCTTGCCGAGTCAACTCTCGCCTGGCGGCGCTCACTTAAATTACGAGTATCATGACTTCAAAAAGGGGAAAAAATATTGGAGTGTTTTCGGGTGCCTCAGTAATGATGTCGCAAACCCGGGCTTATCATTCTTCATAGTTCCTACTCAACCAGAAATGAAAGTACCTACTTATACTTAAATATTAGGAGAAAATGTGGTATTGTATTGTTTTTTTCACAGTTTATTTGCTTTACTAAGACAGTAGCCGAGTCGCACTTTTCCATATAAATGTATTCCCTAATTTACTTTCTGAATACTATGTTTAGAGCTGAAGTTTATTTTAAGAAGTCTAGTTTTACTATAAAACAGACGATTGAGAACGACACATCGTTTAGGATAAACGTCGCATATAGTGTAATAAAGGCAATTTCATAAGGTTATGTGAATAAAGGCAATTTTTACAAAATGTATAAATTGATAAAATATTAATTCATAATATGCTTTTTATTTCATATATTTAGATCAAGTGCTGCTGGTTAGACTTTCCTTTATGGACCGTCGATTTTCGGGTCGAAATGGGGGGAGGGTGAGGACTACCCCCCAGGCCCATCCCCACCCCGCGGAGCCCTATGGTTATGGAGATATCCATGGTCAAAGTTTGTTAAAATTTGGGGTTAGGAAAGATTTTTCGGATAGTTTGTATGTATGTATGTATAACTTTAGAATCGTACCGCAGTGGGGAGGATGCCCCCTTCCCCCAGTACCACTCCCATGACAAGGCAACTCACAGTTGCCGAGAAACACGATTTTTCGCGCCTTCGCGAATTTAAAAAACACTCTCGGGGTAGGGCAGAAAAGAGACCACGTAAAGTCGGTTTCGCAGCAATTCATTTCTATCACTAACTTTTGTATCACATTAAAACATTAGGCCAAAAGACAATGTATTAATTATTTTAATATAATCTATAATCAATAGGAAAACTCCAAAAAAAAAGAAGTCAACAACACGTGAAACGTCAAATTTGGCGTGAATTTTTCAATAGACTTTACAATTTTTAAATAATTATATCTCGTAAACCGTGAGTTTCCGCAACATAAAAATTTGTAAAAAGCCTTCTGTTAATGTGTACTATCTACAAAAAAAAATGAACGCTCAACTCGACGGTCCATAAAGGAAAGTCTATCCGTCGGTGGGCGGCCTTAGATAACTTACTGTATATTTATTTACTGTGGTATAGTCTTCTTGAAATGAACTTTAATGTAAAGAAATAAGTTTCATATTTGTAAGTGGTTAGTAAAGTTGAGATAGCAATAATTACTTGCCAGTCAAATATTTTTTAAAGTAGATCAGTATTGTCATCATTACACTTTATACATATCGGTAGTAGATTTTACCTATAAACATCAATGCATTTGTGTCCTGATCTTAAAACTAGTTTTTAATAGTAGCAACTCTGAATATATTGAATTGTTTCCTATTGTTCTGTACTAGATGGCACCAGTGTGTTTAGGGACATTTCTACTATAATCAAAATGGTGCATTTTTTAATTGTAACTATCGTGAGGGATACTAAATTAATTGAAAATAACGTCTTACGTGAATCGACTGAGGAAAGCTCAACTAGTTTCAAGTCATCACGGGACTCTCATTTATGAGCAGCGAGCGGTCACGTGAGTTAGTCTCTAGTTTCAATAAAAAAAGAATGGTTTATTTTTTATTCCTATGCAAGAATCCTGTAAACTTTTGCTGTACCACATGGAAATACCAAAATTACTAGTGCCATCTTATAAAATAATAACGAACTTGCCAGTCGTATATTTTATGAAGTGACTTCTGGGTTTTTGATCATGAATATTACAGCTTGTGTGTCTTGGCAGCCTTCAATTTTAGCGTAAGTTAACACTTTGTAAATATGTCAGTCAAATAATAAGTAGCAAGTCTTGACGACACATTGCTCAAAGTTACCCATAGTAGGTATATTTTAAGTAAAAATAATAATAATTCGCATCCAGTATTCTTTTTGTTGAACGGCTTAAAATATTTTAATAACAACCTCAAAAATTTTCTTCCAATTAATTGAGCAATTTATCGCCAAGATTTAGTCTTTCCTATAATTGTAAGAATAGCCTCTAGGCTTTTGAGGCTCTGATAACGTGCAATGTCTCGGGCCGTTGTAAGTCGAATTATGACTAGACTGAGGTTGTATCTCTGCGAAAGGATGAATACAATAAATATTCAAATTAAATATTTTCTGTGTTATTTTTTACATTAACTTTCCTTTTCTTAGATAGCTTGGATTACCTGCACGCTATAGGCTGACAGACCGATTGCGCAATAGTGTTATTTTTTGTGTTATATGTATATCGGTAAACGAGCAGACGGATTACCTGATGGTAAGCAATCAGCGCTGCCCATAGATACTCGTAGGACCAGATGAGGTACTACGTTACGGCGTTGCCAGCCTCTTGTAGGAATTTAAGGATAGGAAGATTGAGGATGGGGGGAAGTGGAAAGAATTGGGCCTTCATTAACCTCACTCTAAAGGCGAAATAAAACGTAAGTGTTGCTTCACGCTGGTATTCGTATCGAAATATGGCTCTCCCACGCTTAAGTTTTAAACCAGTGTAACATACAAAATCATGCATCAACATAAAGGCTCTGTATGCAATTCTGAGCCTTATATAACGTAGAAGCCTATTCAATAAAAAGATCTCCATTAGAAATAAAAATATTAAATAAAAACTACCTACCTACTTAGTGGCACATTACAAACTACTGGCTACCGCCCTGGGTGGGGCAAGAGGCATGTGATTGAGGGAGGCCAGTGGCTTATTGAGAATAACCATCCCATTCCTTTCCCAGCTTGCTTCTGGAATCCTGGCTAGACATTGGCCCTAATAGTCCCCATCTGTGGTGGTCTGCTGGCTTTATGAGCGGGGCGTCGCACGCTTGGGTCTGATCTTTCGGGCGAACCTCCCTTACTCGCCGTTCATAGACCACAAGTGCGTATCGGAGATTGTCGCGGGATCTGAATAATGTCTGCATTAATATGACAAGATTTTTTTTGTCTCTCTAACTTATGTTTAGCGGTTGAAGATTGTACTATTAAGAGTAAATAGATTAGAGTCTTGTTGTTCAATAATAGGATGCATTATTCAAGTAGATAGGTGATCTAAAATTTTAACTATAATCCCTTTGTTATACCTGTAAAGAGGTCAGCAAACAGGTCAATATTAATTTCAAAAACCATGGAAACGTTCAACATCGACGTAACGTCAAAATCCCCAACGCAACTGACAATCACTAAGCAACAATATCTCGAGTAATAATTTAGATAGTTTTGGGAGAGGGAACTAACAAAAACATAAAAATGGCGTGCAACGAGAACGTTATAAAGAATATGGCTAATGAAATCACTAGGAATTGTCAGGCTAACAATGTGACGGTAGATCCCGAGTTTGTTACTTATATGATAGACTTGTTGCTACTAAACCCCAAGTATGGCAAACTCTTCGCGAAAACCATCAAGAGGAACAATTTGGCGTATTTTGTTGATGAGTGCGTCTCTATGCTGACTGGTAAGTAAGATTTTAATTGCGCTGCTTTTGTCTACCAGGTTAATATGAATAGTACCAATGTATTTTAAGTCCTTTTATGGGCTTCCATTTCACTGTTATGTAGGTACAATAACTGCACGGTTGGCGCGGTGTCTGGGCAACTGGCTCCCGCACAACGCGTCGCGGGTTCGATTCCGACACGAAATAACTCTTAGCGTGTTCCAAAAATTGTTGCTCCAGGTCGGGGTGTGACGTGTATGAAAAATTTATATTGTAGTAAACGCACCCACGATACATAGATTTGTTTGCTAAATAAAAAAGTCTCCAGAATTCCAACTGTAGCAAATCTATCAAAATCAGTTTAACAATAAATTTTGACAGAAAGGATGAAGCTGTAAACATTGATTTACACATAACTATGTATCTTATCAGTACTACAAAATATGACTAAATTGGAATACGTTTCAGGTGACGGGACAGCGTTAAATACGTTAAAAATGCAGTTCATTTTACAAAAAAACTACGATAAACTTGAAATATTGATTGAGAAGCATTTAGGCCATATTGAGAAGTGCTTGGCGCCCCTAGTCGATGAGATTTTAGACATGGATCCCGGACTTAGCAATGAAGCTGAATTCCACAAACTGTTTCGGAAGATGTCTATTTATTTCGTTCTTGCTAGTGGTTTGGGAAATCCTAGCTACATTGTTGTAAGTGACATACCAGACAATAATGGCAATTTTTCCTTTAGAAGACCTTATTATTTTACCTGATACTTATCTGTAGGAAAATTTTTATTCACACATCAACTCGGCTAGCTTGGACTTCAGGACTTCGTTGATACATACTGTTTCAATAGCCAACCTGATGAGCTCTGATAATATCAAAGGCTAAAGAAAATACAGATTTTTTGCATCAAAAATGACCCGCTTTCCACTATCTATTAATTAATTTCGTATTAATATCGTATTAATTTCGAAATTTCGATGTGTCTATTTAAATTATTTTTCGGTTTTAACGAATGCCCTAGACGTTGAAAGAAGGTATGGCGGCTTTAGAAAGTGTATTCGGGATGGAAGACTTAAAGGCATTCGTAGCGTTGCCCCGTAGCGACAAAAGTCTGCAGCTCGAAGTACTTTTAGGCTATACATCTGGCGTGAGGCTCTTCAATAGAGACTGCAGTAAAGGAGGTGAAGGAATACCAGATCGTGAGTAGATGTTCCCAGATAGTTACTATTTTGAATGGAATCACTTTAAAACAACTCTTTTTTGAGGTGGAATGTCATCAGCCTTTTCTCGCCCACGGTAAAGCGGGAGGGAGTGTCTGATTCTTACTGACTTTAAAACCCCTCCGTTCCTTCTCCTGCTTCAGGCCGAAGACCTTGTTGCTTAACTTAACCCGCAACCCCGGTTGATCATTGGCCCTGTTGGGCCCCATCTGTGGTGGTCTATCGACTCTTTGAGGCGCGCGGAACGGACGAGCGGAACTGCCATAACAACATCAGTAAATCCCATTTTTATCCAGGCACCTTAAGTTCTCAGACTTTCGTCATCTAGGTACTTATGGGGATTTGGATAATAAAAAAAACTTACCGCACAATTTTAGTTGTTCAAGTAAATCGTGCTTATTTCTGGTCTATCTTGCAGTGCCTCTGAACTTGGTCGACGCGGGCAAGGCATGCATGTCTCTGCTATCAAATTCCCTAATAACTATAATGCAACGAGTGAACAAGCTCACTACAGCTATAGAAGAAGCTATCACAATACAGGATGAAACTGGCAATGTTATTGTAGATCTAAACAAGGTCAATGATCACAGTGAATTGGCTATGTAAGTCTGATTATAAGGAACATTACATAACAGTTGATTTAATTTTTTCCGAAATGAATAAAGTTCTGAATTATTTGCTAAATGTATTACTCGAATTATAGATTTGTTTTTGGTTAAAATTCTGCTTTAATGTCCCAGAAATTCATTTTTTTATGTGATATGTTGGCAAACGAGCGGATGGATTACCTGATGGTAAGCAATCAGCGCCGCCCATGGACACCCGCAACAACAGAGGAGTTACTAGTGCGTTGCCGACCTTTTAGGGGATTAGAGATTTGGAGATTTAAACATTGGGGGAGGGAAAGGATTGGGCCTCCGGCAACCTCGCTCACACAGCGAAACACAACGCTATGGTTGTTTTAGGCTAAGAACTCACGGAGCGATTTTCGCCCGCGTCCGCTGCGGTTGCGGGACCGCAGCTTCTGTAGAATTCAAATATTTATATAAAAAATGAAAGCACATTTCACGACGCGTTTTACGCCCGCGGTGTACGCGGTTGTATGCGGCTCCCGCTGTACCTGCGGGCAACTAGTAGAATCGCGCGGGCCGCGGTTACCCGCAGCCTCGGCGGGTGGCACCCGCGTGCTTTGCGATCGGTTGGCGAGCGACCGCGGGGGCCGGCGGGTCTTCTGTGAAGTAAATATAACGCAACGGCTCGTTTCTAGTGTGTGTCCATGGCGGTCTGGACCTCAACTGATCGTTAACCGTCCGTCTTGCAATCTTGCGATCATCGCCCGCCACGTTTGCGGGCGATGATCGCAACCGCGACGGCTGTGTAACCGCGCAAATAACCGGTCTCGTGAGTTTTGAAATAAAACCGCAGTTTCGCTACCGCGGCGGGCATGGTTCAAAATCGCTCCGTGAGTTCTTAGCCTTACACCTGTTTTCTGTGAGGCCGTGGTAACGCTCCGGTCGAGCCACACTTATCATAATGATCATGTTATTTTAAAAACTTGACTTTATCCATGTTTTTGCTCGTTGTAATAATTATTTAATAACGCAGTGCCTATATTATTCTTATCAATATTTTTTTATTAATTGTCTACACATAATCATAGAAGTTTTAACGTATTTTCCAATGATATTTTAAATAAATAGAGGGGATTACAAAGAAATCTTCGACTTGCTTGCATTTAACCGTCAGTATGAAGTATTTATTCGGAAATTATTGGCCGATGTGGAATCTCTGACACTAAAGGGAGCTACATATGTGGAAAGGACGAAGGCAGTCCTCCAAGAACTGCATGCTGCGGTCAAGTATAAAGCGGCTGTACCTGTCCAGAATGTGTTTGTGAGTATATCTAATTTTGCAACGACGCTCATTCCTGTCATCCTTTTAAAATAATAACACCTTAGCTTCCATGAACAAGCTTTGACTCTAAGCTGCGAATATCTACGATCTACATACTCGATTATTTTATACGTGATTAAACAGCGAACGAGCAGATGGTTTACCTGATGGTAAGCAAACAGGCCAGCGAACGAGCAGATGTTTTACCTGATGGTAAGCAAACGGCGTCGTCCATTGACGCCCGTAACGCCAGAGAAGTTAGGAGTGCGTTGCCGGCCTTTTGGATCTCCCATATTCTCACTTAAACGGCGAACATAACGTTATGGTTGTTTCACGTCGGTTTTCCGTGCGGCCGTGGTATAACTCCGTTCGGGCGGATACATTTGTGCGGAAGCATAGCTCTCCCACACTCAATTAAAAGAAAAATAATTTATGGCATTTTAGAGAAAAGTTTCGAACTGTTGGTGTGGTCTTCAAAATAAGTAATTGTACTATTTTTATTTTCATGTTTAGCCACTGTTTACAAAGCTATGGGAAGTTTGGCGCGCGATGCAGAACGTTATGTTCATAATATCGAACGTAAATAGACTGATGGGGATCATGGGAAGCATCCAGGATAAGATCAAGATGCCTCTTGATGTTCTTAACAAGATGCTTCAAGGAAAAACCGTTACTACTGACCATGTAAGTTGGATAGTTTCTTTAGTTTCATAGAATATTAAATATTACCTACTTGGCACTATGAGGGTAGACAGAAACTATGCACAATTTTATTACAAAGGGCATAAATAGATACCTACTACCTACACTTTATATCTATACTTCTGTACTATTATTATAAAGAGGTTTGTAGATATGTAGGGCGTAATCTGGATGGATGGAACCGCTCACTGGTCGGATTCCCAAAATTCTTTCACTTATTGATAGCTACAATGTTCCCGAGTGCTATAGGCTATAAAACATCACGCTACAATCAAATGGAGATGAGCAGCGAGTGAAACCGCGGAGTAGCTAGTATATTATATTTAAAAAAAACGCCCCAGCATTTTTATAAAAATCGTCATTCTTTCTTCCGTTTATCAAAATCTTGACACTAGATATTTGTGAAATGTGCAACTTAGTCCTAAGTTTGTTTTTTTTATATTTTTTTTCTTAATTTATCGTCTACTCGAATGCTTGGTTCTTCTCTTTCAGTGCAGAATTAACAATCGCCCAAGCACAGAAGAGAGGCTATCACTGACCTCCTTGCAAAACTACGTTGGCTACCCAAGCAGTTCAGATGTCCTTGGGGTCAAGCAAGCAGAGGTAGTTAATTTGCTGTTCATTATGAGTAGATTATTTTGCTGTGTAGTTTTTTTTCATCATTATGAAGAACGTATCTAACTACACCACTTATCGCAAATGCTAAAATATGTTAGCGTCTCGTGGACTGCCCCTGACAACTTGCCTCGCCGCTGCGAGCACAGCCCTCAGTTGAGACAATCGTTGTTGTTTCACTTTATGTCATTCAAATAACTGTAAGTACATATGTGCAACGGTCAGTTGGTAGGTACTACTACTGGTTTTGCATTGCTTCATATGTTCATGTTTACGCCTACAGGAGTTCAACCAAACAGCATGGATGGCTCGCTGAAGTTTCATTTACCTACAAATATTTTATTTCTTCCTTAAAACCTATGTTTCGAACCTGAGATTTTGGATTAAGGTTTTGGCAGCACTAGGACGGCTTTACATTTAAAGGCCATTTTCAAAAAAAATATGTTTTATTATTAAAACCGCCTCGGTTCTCGGTTCTAGTATAGCCGAGACCTAAGACTGGTTTTTTATTTTGTCCTTTATTTATCTGTTGCAGTTCTTAGGATTTTGCGCATTATGTCTGGGTGTCGGTGCTCTGGTCCCTAGCAACGTAAAGATAGGTCTCATCAAATTCAAAGGCGGGTACTACGGGTTTTGCAGTGTTAAAATGGCCACCCGGTTCAGTAAAGATCCTGAGAGGTAATTTTCTCAATACATTAAGTAAATTATCTGTCCAAAACCGAATAATATGTTAATATTCTTTCTTTTGCCATTGTTTATATTTACAGACACAACCATTAGACCTTAAAGATTGCTGAAGTTGCCATACTCCTAAACCTCTTCCATCTTCCCACCAGATACATCAACGAAGCTCTGAACTACGCTCGCAACAACCCCCATCTCATCAACTTGCTTAACATTGTGGAGAACGTGTTCAAAGTGAAGGACATCGACGATCTTGTTGTTGTTCGGGTACCGAAAAGTAAGGGAATTATACCAGCCGATTATCAGCATCTTCAACGCAAAACCATATTGTGCGCCCTTAACCTATTAGTTGCGCGTCTATTCCACTTTGAAACCGCTTGCAATTTTAGTTGATTGATTAACAAGACAACCTAATTGGATCGATTGTTTCTAGAAAGTATTAAGTTCTGTGGCTATTTAATGTGTTTCACTCACTGAGTAACTCTACTATTTTCAAGCTAAGCTTAGAGCCCGTAATTATAAAACGCGAGACGATCAAGCAATGACGTTTAAATTATATGTGTAGGTACCTAGTTAACCAATAAATCTGTGTATCCTCTCACAGTAAAGGTCTTCGACAAGGATATCCAGACAGAGATGCACCCAGTACCGACGTACAAAGAGAAAAACTACACGTGGGATCTTTGGGAGTGGAAGAGAAGAGCTTGTCAATGGGTGCGTGTATCATTTTAACTAGTCTTTTCGAACTTAATCGACGTCTGCATCAGGGTTTAGTTAAATTTTGTGACGATATGAGAATATATATACCGCCTTAGGGCAGTGATAAGTTTTTTTATATGATTGGCGGCAAACGAGCAGACGGGTAACCTGATAAGTAACCCGGTAAGCAATCAGCGCGAGTTACGAGTACGTTGTCGACCTTTTTGGGGATCAGGGATTTGGAGATTTAGGAATTAGGGGAAGGGAAGGATAGGGCGTCCGGTAACCTCACTCTCACGAAGCAAGGCACCTGTTGCCCAGGCCAGGCCACATGTTGCAGACTTCTCCCTTCAAAACAACCATCAAATCTAAAATCGTACTTTCATCACTTTTTCTTTACTCGTTAGGCCTCAATAGTGAACTGTCAGACGCATTCGACCCAAACGGTCTACAGTCACCTCCGTTCTGACATACAATGTCAGACGGTCGAGCCGAGAGACAAGAGCTTGCAGACCAACAAGGACGCTGGGATGAACACCGTCAACTCCAACTACTTCCTATGGGGTTTGAGGGGGCATCGTGGCTATGGACAACACGTCATGGATTTGAAGGCTCAACACTCTATGGAGGGTCTTAAACGTGAGTTTTCTCAGTTCAGCAGCGTTCTTTGATAAAAGTTTTTGTGGAGTGATAGGTAATCATCAAATGACTTATCGCCCAGAGAGGAAGTGTCAGACTCTTACTGACTAACCCTCCCCCATGTTCCTTCTCCTGCTTCAGGCTGTGGCCTTGGTACACTCGGTAACATATTGCGTTTTTGTTATTTAATATTATTTTTTGTCAGGGGAATATCAGCAAATGACTTCTCTCGCCCAGGTTGAGGCGAGAGGAAGTGTCAGTCAGACTCTTACTGACTAAGCCCCCCCGTTCCTTCTCCTACTCGAGGCCGCGGTGCTTCATTGCGCTTGCCCCGCAATCCCGGCACCTTATTGCGCTTAACCCGCAAATCTAAGAATTGATTATGACCCATCTGTCGTGGTTTATTGGTCCTTAGAGACGCGTGCGGAACGCTAAGCGCCGCACACTCTGGTCTGTAAAACTAACACGGCAATCTGCTGCATTTAGAACATTATTCTTAGCCGCATTAAATGTTGAGCTGTTTGAATGCGTTGCTTCGAACAAATTGGGTGACATTTAGAATTTTATGTACCTAACGGTGAAACAGGGGGTATAAAATTCGAAGGGTGAACAGACACAGAGGGTCGGAAATTTTTCTAGTATGAATTTAACCTGTTTTATAGTAGACTTTTTTTATTTGCAGCCTCAATAATAGCTACGTGCACTTGGCCATGCTACAATAAGAAAGAGGACCTTGGGGCAGATGAGACTATGGACGAAAACTTAATCCACAGCGAGTGATTATATTTATTTACCTTTTATATAGACTTCTATGTGTATCATATATCGCAGGTTGTTCATCATTATGAGCCCTGGTCGTGGCATGAAACTAGTCGAGCACTCTTGAACGACAGAAAGACGTGAATTCTATATTTTGTAACAAATACACATTTCGTTAAAATATGAATTAGAGAAAAAATAAGGAAGTACCAACTTCTAATAGGATTATTATATTTTATTGTTTAATATTTACTTTTAACTTGAATTTTATATTATTTTGTTGTTGTAAATTCTATCGAATAAAAATATATATTCAAGGATTGTTATATCAGATATTACCTTATGTTACTTTTTACTAGATCAGATACCTTTTTCTATTATTGAAGTGTTACCATAATAAAAAAATATTTATAGATTCTGATATTTTCTTATTGTTCCATCTAGAAAATATATTTTTGGAAATGTTGTCCATCAAATTACTTTTTTATTTGATGGGTCGTCAAACGAGCGGACGGATTACCTGATGGTAAGCTATCAGCGCCGCCCATGGACACCCGCAACAAAGGAGCAGTTACGAGTGCGTTGCCGACCTTTTGGGAATGGTGATTTAGGGATTGAGGGAGGAGAAGGATTGGGCCTCCAGTTACTTCTTCTATCCTGGGTGAGGTGAGGAGTATGAGAATTTTATACTTGGGCCACGCTTACGGGAAATGCCATTCATTATCGCGATAATGGACATTAATCTTAGGTGTAATTTTATCCAAATAATAACGGAATCTTTGTGGGCGACTGGAGAAATAATACCAAAATATAGGTACAAATATAATATATTGTGAATACTTACAGTAACATTATACTTATTTAAAATACTTATCTCCGTAATCTTATGAATGTGTCTCTTGCTTCTCTGGCCAAAGCCACATCATCAGCTCTGAGCTTCAAGGATGCAGCCTCTTCTCTTAATGTCACTAGTGACGTCACTAAAGCTGTTAATGACGTCGGCAAAATGGCGTCCGGTACTGACAGCTTTGCGAATTTTGACTGGAAATAGAAGAGATATTTTTAAGCAGTAGGTTATCATAAGACTTGGGAGATTTAATAACCACTTTAGAATAAACGTATAACGTCATTTTTTATAAATGGCAGGAGTAATGATTTTCTTAAGGAAACGTTGCCCCACACTAGTATTTTCTCCTGTGTCGTGGGTGCGGGTACAAACATACAATTTCATATGCACATGACACCCAGACCCGGAACAACAATTTGTGAATCACACAAAGAGTTGGTTCCGTGCGGGAATCTAACCCGCGACCCAGTTGGCTAGCCACCGCACTAACCGTACAGTCAATATATACTTTTAAGTATATCTAGTAGGACTTGCAGGCAATTAACTTAATTATTATTACTCATTTAATAAAAAGACCTGAATGACTAACTGATACAATGACTGAATTTCTCTGACTGAAATATCAGGTCGGCTCGACCAGTGTGATCGCCACGTCCTCACAGGAAACCGGCGCACAGTGTTTGATTTAACTAAAAAAAAATCCCTATGCTGTTTGTCGCATAAATGAATCAAGGAATGCGTTTAAAATGGAAGAGTAGAACACCCACGTCTATTTCATATAGGTACTTTTTATATAAAAAATAATATCCATTTCATGACCTTGACCCAGAAAAATCAGTTAAAAAAATTGTGCAAGCGTAAGTAGGTAACTAATTACGATAATTTTTTTTTTTTTTGATATGGTTCCATGAAATATTGTTTGGCGCTTATTCCCCAGTTTTGATTTTTGAATTAACACATTTGGTCACTGAGTTATTATTATTTTTTCTTCAGATTTTTGTTTTTATTATTTAATCCTTAAATTACTTAAAAGTGTGGCTTGTGAGTAGCACTCAAAGATTCTCAATTAGGTCTTTCGTTGATAAAAAAACCACGTTCCACTATCGCGGCGTTTGGGAGTTATTGAATTTAAAAAAATTATGTTAGGGTTCAAAGAAAGAGTTACGAGTGCATGGGATTAGGATTTTGGGGATTAAGAGATTGGGAGGAAGGGAAGGATTGAGCCTCCGGTAACCTCATTCACACGGCGAAACACAATACTGTGTTCCTCTCTTATTCGGGCAACTATACTTTATATCAATAAAAGTCTATGGATGTTGCTGAATGCTTACCATCAAATGATTCTACGTGGGGTAGAATCATTCGATCAATCATTTCATCTCATAAAACGAGACGAACTGAATTCATGTATAGTACTCTTACCTTAGCTTTCTCACAGCTTTCCTCATAAGATGCGACCTTTTGCTTCAGCTGTCTGATTTGATCTTGAATGTTTTCCGGGTTCGGATTCTGATTGGACAAAGAATTCCTAGAATCCTCCAATTCTTTTCTCAAACCCTCCAAAAATTTGTTATTACGGTCTATTTTCGCTTGCAGTTCATTGTTCTTCTGTTTTAGTTTCAATATTTCGTATTCGTCTTCTAGTTTTTGCGATATTTCTTTAGTTTGGTGTAGGGAGATGGCGATGGGATCGAGTTGGTTTATGTCCATTGCTTGTTGTGCTTCTGCTGCTTGCCGAAGCAGTTGTTGACATTTCTGAGGTAAGCCATCAATGGATATGTTGAGTTTTGATAGGATCTCTGATGTTAGGGCCGCTGGAAATAAAATAGACATAGGGTTATATGTGTGACGATATATGTTGTAGTTCTTTTTCAGTTTTGAATTAGTCCTCTATCACTGATTTAGTAGCAGGTCGGGTGTTTGCCAGCTATCTGAGTCTAACTTGGAAATACCACCTAAGTTAGACTTAATGAAAAAGTGTAAATTAGTTTTATACATGCATATTTTTCTACAAGATAATGGTATGAAGCTGGCTTCAATGTGTGCGTGCACACCTTCATCAGCGCAAATACAGACAAATATTTTTAGTGTAAGTACCAATTTCCATAATAAAAATATGCACAGACTCAGCTAAAAAAAACAACAACAAACAGTTTTTCTTTCTGTATTATTGCTTCACCTATTTTTATTTATTTATTATATATACACTGTTATAATAAGTATATATAGCTTCACATGAGTAGGTAGTTTTACAAGTTTATTTATATTGTACAATTAAAGAAAATGGCTGAGATATTGAAAGATGAGAAAACTGGACACTCACCTTATAAATTCAATTTGCAAACTGCTAGGTTCTATATAGCCACTTATCATAGAAAAAAATAAAAAGACAAAAATACCTACTAAACAATTTAATTTACTAATAGAAATATTTTACAATATTTATTGCAATACAGGAAAATTGACAAGACTTTCAATTTTCTTTGCTACATTAAGCAATAATTCTTCTGACAATGGTGGGCCCATAAGTTGCAGGGATAAAGGCAGGTGGTCTTTTGAGAGTGTTATTGGTATAGAAATAGCAGGAATACCAGCCATGTTAGCTGGCTGGGTACAATAGTCCTGGAACGCACACTGATCTCTGTTGTGCTTAGCAGCAAATTCATCATAAAACGGAGCATCAGATAGAGTTGTAGGAGTCAAGAGCAAATCCACTCCATCCTCTGGACTAAAAACTTTATTAAAGTCATCTCTTATTAACCTCCTTAGTTTAAGAGTTTTTATAAAGTATTTCACATAGTTCCTTGTAAGTAAAAAGTAGTTGCCAGCTAATATTCTTGATCGGACAACTTTGTTGAAGCCTTGATGTCTGGTTAATGCATAAAGCTCCTCTGTAGAACTGTTTACATTGGCTCTAAGACCATATTCTATCCCATCGTACCTAGACATATTACTAGCAACCTCGCACTGGTTCAAAATTGAGTAAACTGCTATGGAGGCTGAAGTGTAGGGCAATGAAACTACTTCTAATTGAGCTTTTTCACGTTCCAGTAAATCTGCCACATGACCCCATGTGTCTATTACTTCTCTACTCATACCTTCACAGTGATATTCTTTAGGTATCCCTATCCTTACTTTTGATAAGTCAATATCTTTCAATGTTATTGGCTCAAATGGCTTTTTAATAGTTGTAGAGTCATTTACATCTGGTCCAGCAACCACATTCAATATTGTGGTAACATCTTCAACAGTCCGTGCCATTATACCAGGCACATCCATTGAATTTACTAATGGTATTAAGCCATGCCTAGATACAAGCCCATAAGTGGGTTTCAATCCGACAACACCACATAATGCCGCTGGATTTCTAGTGGATCCACCAGTATCAGAACCAATAGCAGCTAGACAAGATCCTGAAGCCACAGCAACTGCACAGCCTCCAGAACTGCCACCTGAAATTCTCCACTTCTTCTTGTCATACTGCCAAGGGTTACGAGTCGGACCAAATATGGAATCTACTGTTCCTGAGCCCATCGCGAACTCGTCGAGGTTACATTTGCCGATCAGACAAGCACCCGCACGCCTTAGTCTGGAGTACACTGTCGCATCATAACTCGGCACGAAGTTCTTCAGCATTTCCGAGGCACATGTCGTAGGTATGTTGCTGGTACAGAAATTATCCTTCATTCCGATAGGAACGCCGTCTAATACCTTGGGATGTTTAGAGATGTAAAACCTCTTTTCACTCTCGATACTGTGGGTTTCAGCGGCATCTTCAGTTACACACACGAAAGCATTCAAATCCCTGCTCTGTTTGGTTCGTTGCAAACTTAAATCAACGAAACTGGTAGGTGTCAACATTTTTTCTGAATAGGCTTGGTGAACCTTTTTTATCGTATAACCCGTTAATTTATTCATGTTTTTGTATTTTCTTTAATTCCGTTTACATAAAATACATTGATTGAAGATGCATAGGTTAACAACAAATTTAAACAGCTGATGGCAAGGTAAGAAATACGAAAATACGCTACGATTTACAGAAATGTCAAACCGAAACGTTCACATAATTCGGGCGGGATGTGCTAACGTACCTATTCTTAGGAACTGTTACTTACCACTTGCGACGCATTCTTGTTTATCTTGCTGAATTAAACCCGAATATAGTTTGTCGTGATCTTCATTGTTTACTGAAATAGTCTTCATTTTGAATGTATTTGTTTGAATTAATTGGAAATATTCACAACAAACCAATTCAAAAGTGAAAATGTTTACTGATCGGTGATTGGTTGGTTGCATTTGTCATTTGTCAATTTTCTGTCATGCATGAAATGGCGTTTTATTTCATACAAAGTATTAAACCAAAGTAAAGCAACAAAATTTTAGAATCCAACTGATCTTTAAAAATTACTTACAATGTTTTCATGTCGATTAAATACACACATGACACTAAAGGCTCAGGCTCAGCTTTAAATGCTCCATTTTTTTTCAATTACTTAGGTACTAAACTGGTACCTCTCCATTGATTAAACTTTAGTAAGATTTGTTGTATATTATTTATGTATGAATGGGCATTTTAAATAATAATTATCCAAACTCCTTAATAATCCTAGATTTAAAAGTTCAGAGTGCAGTATTATTGTGTTCGATTTATACATAAATTATTAAAATCGATTAAAAATTCTATTATCGATACTATCGACAACAGACATTCGAGTTGTGTAGTGTTGATATAATTATGACAGTTCGGCATCCCTAAAATATTGAGTGCTTAGATCGCTGTGCTTGTCGTATATTTCTTTTTCGTAGATGGTTTAAATATTTTAGTTTCTACAAATAAGTATTAGAGCAGCAATAAGTTATTAGCCTAAACTTACATTTTAAATATTATTTAGTGTAGAAGTTATTAAATGCCATAAATATGGCGCATTTGCAATACATGCCCGGGGATCCGCGTCTTGTCGATCAACTCGTTTATGAATTAAAATCGAAGGGTATATTTGATCAGGTAAGTGAATTATCTAATTAATATTGTTCAACTATGCTCCTGATGATGCATGTAGGGCTGATGTCGCCATTTTTCTGACCTTGTGTGTCCCTTGGCCCTTTCTTCAATCATGTTAAAATTATCAATAAACTAAGTAATGATGGTTTCAGACCTATTGTTACTGAAAACTAACATTCTTAAAGCTGTCTTCCTACTCAATTTTGTCATATTTAAGTCATAAAAGGTCCTAAAATATTAAAAATTGTAATAAGCTGTATTAGGATTATAATACCATTTCATTGAATATGAAAATGGTTGATTTTGATATTGTTCAATATTTTAAGTATTTAAATGTCTTTGTGTTTGGTTAGTACTATAAAACATTCGGGTTAGTTCTATGATTTGCTGAAATGCAATTTTATTAAGATAAAATTAACATATGCTGTGAAAACAGAAATTCATGAATTAAATCCATAATTTTATTTTGTTTTTAACCACATATTCTGCCATTTACATACCGTTTTGGATACACATTATCATTATAGCTACATGGTGTGGCATTCATGATGGGATATATTATAGAAACTTTACTAACCGGGCAATATAAAAATGTAATAATTTGGCATTTTGTTCAATACATTACGTAAATTATTAAAGCAATAATTAATTAAATGAAATATTTTACAACATATTACATGAAAAACAAAATCAATAATTAATAAATATTAACACTGTATAGTAGAACTTATAAAATCAACATCCTGAAGTAATTGGCTTTTTATTTCTATGCTTCACTGACAAACAAACTGACAGATTATTATTCTATTTTGATGCTTCAAAAGTAAATGTTTAATAAATGATTTTGACTTTACAATAGTACATTGTAAAACAAATTGCAAAACCATAAATTTTTTGTATCTGATGATTACCATAGTTTTTGAGACTAGGTACCTCATTGTGAATGCTATTCCATGCTATTACACTTAGCTGCTATTGAAGTAGCTAAGTTTATTAGGTTACTTTATTTATAATAATAACACTATGTTGAAAACATTTTTATAAATCAGTATTTTGTTCACATATTTATCTTTAAGTATACAATTAATTGAATAAATAAGAGCTAAGTGTAATCAGCATGTTGCAATAATCTGAAGATATTAAAATAAATAATAAACATATTTATAAAAGCTATGCCCATATTGTGCCTATTTTTTCTTTAAAAGGTTGGTCTTGTGTATCCTCTTTGTAAATAACCTTACGATTCTAACAGAAGTAGAGATTCAAAAATTAATAAGTTAATGTTTAAGCTTAAAGTTTCACAACTACTTCATAATGTTCTTAACTTTATTCATCAGCATATTAGCCATTAGATACACTGCTGAACATAAGCCTCATCTAGTGACTTCCAGATTGGGGATCCATAGCAATCCTTACTGCTTAGATGCTTGTAATAATGTTTCAAGTATGAACTGTTGTCCTTTTGGTCTAAGGGTAGCCTTTATTCCAGATAATGAACATTAACATCACTGATCCTATTTTTTTTTTTTTTGTTGATCTTTAGTTTTTTGTGGCCATTTTGTGACTGAGATTAATGATTTGACTTTACTGATTCATGTTACAAGCAGCTGAGTGTATATTATATAATAAATAATTGTAATAGGTAAATATAATTGTTGTCTCAGGATATTAAGTGTGAAAATTATAATTGTTTTTGACAACAAATATTATCTACAACTTTAATACTTACTTTACATGTTTTGCAGTATCATCTACTCTATTCCTTATAATGTTGGTTGATGTCAAATGCATATAACCTTATAACAATGTGTCCTAATGTAATATAATGAACAATTGTTAAGTTAAAAATTTTGAGATTTGTCCAGGATTTAAATTTTATTGGTAATTCAGTATTTATTTTAATACAATTTGTTTTAATCATAAGTTCATAAGATTTATAATTTTCTTGACCTAAAATAGTAGACAATGTTATATAACAGCTAATGAAATATTTTACTTTTAAATGAAAGTAATGAAAATTGATTAAATATGAAGTATCTATCTGTAAAGTATGTATAACTATTAATTTCAAGTTACCATTGATTCCAGTTCCGTAAGGACTGCATAGCAGATGTGGACACTCGTCCCGCTTACCAGAACTTGAGGCAGCGTGTTGAGAACTCCGTGTCCTCATTCCTGTCTCGACAGTGCTGGAAACCCGACCTTAACAAGAACCAGCTCAGGGAGAAGCTCAGAAAACATATCTTGGAGTAAGTTCCTGTTTTATTGTAATATAATCTTTTAGATACTAACTAGAGGTTTATTTGCTTTTGCTGTTATGTAATATTGATAATAATTAATACTGTTTCTAAATTATGTTTTATTTATTGATCTAAAAATGTAATGAAAGTATATAAGTTTGATAAAATACATATTTATTTTGAGTAGAGTAACTATGTTGTCTGCCTATTTTTGATAATATTACTAAAGTAAATGCTGATGCCGTTTGCTATGATTCTAGTAGTAACTAATTCTTCGGCACTTATAATCAATAATGATTGTATTATTTATCATAACTGTGTATAAAACTGTTATTAATTTAAATACATGTCTTTCGTTACAGTGGTAACTACCTAGAACAGGGTGTAGAAAGAATTGTTGATCAAGTGGTAAACCCTAAAGTAGCATCAGTATTCATACCACAAGTAGAAGACCTAGTGTACAACTACTTAGGCGTACCTAGAAAGAAATCAACTGCAGAAACATCGAACGGTAAAGTAGCTGCAGATGATCTTCTTCCAACAGACTTGGAGGCTGTCAGCCCTGGCTCAGTCAAAAGCAATGATGACAAGTTTGAAGAGATAGACAAAGATCTTGAAGAGAATAAGATGGAAGTAGATAATGTAAAGGATGAAGAGAAACCATCAGTTTCTGAAGTAGAGAAACCAAAAGTTGAAGGTGATTCACAAAATAATATTATTGAACTCACAAATGATTCTGATATGGACATTGATAAGTCACATGACGATATAAAGCTAGAAAATATACCGCCTCCCGACAACAGTCCGCCGAAGGTAGAAAATGAAAATATACAACTTGAGAAAATTGAACTTCCAAGAGAACCGAACATAGCACTTTTGGAAGCACCACATCCTGATGAAATACCGCTTCCAAAAGATGATAAGGATCAGTTCTTCAAACCTATAGGTGTTAATAGTGATGATGATTCAAGCAGCGATTCGTCCTTGCGAAGGAACATGTCTCCATTAACTCCAATTAGGAATTACAATAATGAAAATTCTTGCGATGCCCAGCAGGCATTCGAGAATGATTCAGATAGCAAAAGTAACGATGTTAAAAAGGAACCGAGTTCATTTAGATTCGCTATAGAAGCTAAATCTCCGGAACAGAATAGTTTGGAAGCAAAACCAGAAAAGAAAGATAGTGAGCAAGCAAACTTGGCATACCAGTTCAACAATCAAGTGAATATAAACACTACACACACCTTCAACACACCGATGTATGACGACAGCTCAAACAGCAACAACCTACAAATAGATTATGAAAGTGACGTCAACAGCAAAATAAATGCAGAGAAAGTACCCGAGGCAGACCAAAACTCTGAGGACAAGAGAGATAAAAAAAGCGATGATCGAAAAAGTAGCCACAAAAGCTCGCACAGATCTAGGGACTCACACAGACATTCAAGTAGCAAGGACAAGAGATCAGAATCTAAACAATCATCGTCTAGAGACAGTAGCAGACATGATAAGAAACCTAAAGATGATCATAGTAAATCTAAATCCAGCCACAAGGAGAGAGAGAAGTCGAGAGACAGATCTGAAAAGAAGGATAGTAGAGACTCTTCTAAACATAGAAGTTCTTCACACAAAAGTAGCTCTAGCCACAGAGACTCAAAATCTCACCGCAGCTCAAGCTCAAGCCAGAAACATTCGAGCGACAAAAAATCATCCGATGACAAGAAATCATCCGATGACAAAAAGTCTTCAGATGATAAAAAATCGGATGAAAAGAAATCTTCATCTTCCTCAAGTCATAAATCTGAAAGAAGTACCGAGAAAAGTTCTGATCGGAGTTATAGGGATAAAAGAGATTCCAAATCTAGCTCGCATCGGTCTGACAAAGACAAAAAGAGTAGCAGCAAGAGCAAACATGACGAGAAAGATAAGAAAAAGGAGAAGAAAGATATTGATGATCATTATAGTGTCTCAGGTAGAGGCAATCACACAAGGCGATCAACGGACAGAGATTCAAATGACGGCAGCTCATCTTCCAAAGGATCTCACAATCAATCAGCTTCAAAAACTGCAGAAAACAAAAAAGAAACAAAGAGCTCCAGCTCCAAGTCGGAAAATACCTCAACTAGCGGAGAATCTAACAGTCCCAGTGACAAAGAACATGTAAAAACCGCTTGCGACATGAAAAATAACCAAAAACCTATCAGAGTTGAAAATCATTTAGAGACTCCTATCACAAGCCCCCCAAGATTGCCATTTGTACCAGATGTGACCCTAAAGAAACCAAAATTCGCAGCGAATCTAGAAGAAGCTAAAAGGATGATGAAAATGAGGAAGTTCTTAGACGAAGAACAGAAACGAATGAACCAAGAAGCTGCGTTACTTCTTGAATTTCAGGCGAATGTAAGGCCTAGTTTAAGTCAAGTGTATTCTAGCATTCCTGGACCTGAATTGGAATTCGCATGCGTGGGAAGTGAAGCCAATAGTATTGTCCAAACTAAAATAAGCAAAACTGAGCCTGCTGCGGAAGAATTGGCTGCAGAGCCTGAAGAGCTTGTAGAGACAGTGGAAAGTGTAGAGACTGTGGAGCCTATGGTTACCGAACAGGAGACCGAAATTAAGGAGATGAATATTGAAGAAGAAAAAGTTAAAAACGAAGTTTCAATTAATATCAACCTTGAAAATACACAGACAAATGACACAGAAATCTTTGAGGAAATCGAAACAAAACCAGATGCAGACAAAAAGGAAACTTACAACGAAAACAAACCGTTTTCTCAGCTCATGGATGAAATATCAGAATACAGTAAAGCTTCAGAAAAAATCAAGAAAGACGCGTTAGATAATTTAGTCGAAGATGAAAATAAGAAAAGAACAGAATATTTCGAAGTCACTATTATAACAGAAGAACTTTCGGAAACGGATGAACCTGAAAATACTTTAACTGCTGAATTAGAGCCTGAATCAGAATCTAAAGCAGAGCCTAAAAAATCTAAAGAAATATCTAAGGAGTCTCCAGAGTCACCTAAACCCGAAATAGTTGAAGTTACCGGCACAGCAGACGAAGAAAATCTACAGTACTTCGCTGAACATGAAAAATTCGACGCAGAATTAAAGAGACACCAATATAGCGATTTCCTTAAAGCGTACATAGAAAGAAACGTGGTTTCCAACAAAATCCACATAGTAAACTGCGATTCATATGAAGAGAATATAATAAAAGAGGTATGCGCGAGCTTTGGGAACTTTGAAGTTATTAATTATTACAAAAACGGACATTTGAAATTGCCCAAACCAGCTAAAAATGTGATTAAGAACGTTAATTTGGCTTCAGAGATATCTTTACCTATAGACAACACATATGGATCAAAGTCTCCTACCCCAGTTTTTAGTCCTTCAAAATCGGAGTGTTCCTTCGAATTGTCCAGTGATTATGATGCCAAATTAGAAGAGATGGTAAACAAGACATCTCGGCAAGAAGTCATGGAGATTATACTCGGCAGCGTTATAAGCCAGGATGAGAACCCTTCGATAGACTACTGTACAGAGTCGAATATTGATAATGAGTTGCACTTGAAAAGGAAAATAGAAAGCGAGCCTGCGGAGAACAATAACAGGCATGTTTTGAAGAAAATGAGGAAATTGAGCGACTCCGATCAGATCTCATCAACCACAGAAGGTAAGAATAATAATTTTAATAGCATCTCAAGCATTTGCAAATGTCTTTCTTCATTTTCATTATGTTTTCATTCCTTATTTCTTTCTTCAACTAAAGTATTATTGGGTTTTTCTGTTTAACAACTCTCATAGCAATGAATCTCATTTGGTTTCTGATAGATCCAAAAACAGCTGGCGAAAAGTAAATTTTACAAAACAATATATTCGCTACTGTCTACATTTATATGGTTATATATAGGTTCGATCTTATTACAAAGTACATGAGTAATATTCTAGTTGAATTATTATTCATCGCAGAAAGTAAATATCAAGTATACGAAACATTATTTTTAAAACATAAAATCCAGAATACAAAATCGTAAAATACCTATAAAATGGTTTTACGATTTACCCTAATCTGGAAACATACCTTCGCTTGCGAATTTAAAATAGAATTTGCAGTGAAAAGAGGTTTAAAATAATAATTTCAGAAAGCGAAGAGGTTTCGAACAACAATAGGGTTCAACCGACGCGGTCTAAATACTTGGGTAGGGCGCGACGGGTGGGTTTGTCAAGGCCAAGGAGAAATACAAATAGTGAGTACTTGTTTTTGTTGAAATTACAAATATAGGTCTTAAAATTAGGTTGTTACAGGCTATATTTGAAGTTTTATTATATTGCCTTCGACTTAGTTTAGTTAGAAACTAGCCTATCTATACTGAATTGAACTGGATACGATTTATTCGTATGTCTTTTTAGCATATTTGAATTATATGTTTTATTGGTACTAACAATCTTATTTTCGTTTAAAAACTCAGTCATATATACCTTTTCACAGATCAGTTGCACATTATATTTATCCTTATATTTCTTTTTGTCCAAATTTGCCTTTATTCTCAAATTATTAACATAAAAACAGTAAGTAGCCTTGTATTAAACTGACCATATTAAATGCATGATAAATCACCTTCCTTATTTAGTATTTTGCACAAGGCCAAAGTAACTGCTTGAATAAATCAAAAGAGTCACTAACCTTTTGTTTATCACTCCACAGTAGTATGTATAAAATTATCGACTGCTGTGTAACGACGCGGGTTCGATTCTCGTACGCAACAACTCTGTACGATCCACAAATTGTTTTTCCGAGTGAAACACACCTACGATGCAGGAGACAATGTTAGTGAGGGCAATGGATTATTTATTTTAGTAATATTATATATAAATGCGAATGTAACTAGTTTGGGTTACTTTTTAAACTTTACGCTTATGTAGTATCTTTTTTAATTTTATTTTCCTTGTCAATCATATACTTAGTTTTTGGTGGGATTGGCAAATAATTACTTTTACCTGAGACATATAATTATGTTGTTATGCCAAATTGGTGAATTTAAATGCATTTTCTACGCTAATTGCAAAATAATAAAGTTGAAAATTATACGCAGATAATGTGTTTGCATAAAAACTTTATGTGGTATTATGTCTTCAATGTAATATCAAGTTTTTTATAATAAAAATAAAAAAATCCGTAAAGTACAGACTGCCTCAATCCTCGAGTGTCCGCGAGTGTGACTGCCTAGCAAAAGTTGCCAGGTTCGATTCCCGGATGAAGAAGTGTTTTGAGGGTTTTTCGAATCATCGAAAATGTCAAATTAAATGAAATCAAATCGGTTGTTTTGCAAAGAACAGCTGTTAATTTATGTTTAATGTCTCAGTAATAGCTGTAGGAATTAAAAATATATGATAAAAAGTGAGTTTTATAAAAAGTTATATCTATCTGGTTTTCTGTATTCGAGAACAAAAAAAAACTACGTCTCCTAAAAATAATATCGTAAATAAAGTAAATTCTGTGGTTTACAGTAATTGAGGGAACACAGCAATCAGTTCCTATCTATTTTTGTAATTGTGTAAGTGATCTGTGCTCTCTGTTGGAAATCAAATAACTAAATCAATAAATCTTTTACAGATTTGCCAAACAGTCCTTCAAGCGATAAATCAGTGGAGAACTACGAACAGAACGCTCAAGGAACACCACAAACTCCAAATGGCAAACTCAAGTCCGTCACGCGAACGAAAGTTCAAAGGTACGATACCTCTGACCTGTACAAGCCTAAGCTTCATTATTTGTCCAGAAGAAATAACATCAGTTAATTCAATTTGATTTGTTTTACTGTCTATCCTAAGCCGAAATGTGACCACTTGCCAGATTCAAGGAATATTATTTTTCATAAGGCCTGACTGTCATTTGTCCTTTGACAATCCTCCAAAAGTGACAGATACCAAATTTTTCCCCTTATTGAAACGTTTACTTTGAGTATACTGTTGTCTATCTATACGTAATGTAAGTGCTGCAAGACTTAAAATATTTTTTACCTAAAAATGAAGTATGTAGGTACAACTTCAAAATGACATTCTAATTAAAAACATCAAAAATCATCGAAAATCTCCACATTTCTGGTTGTCAGATAGGGTGCACAAAAAAATTGTCTTTGCTATAGTGAATCTACTATACTTTTTTATGTGGAGCTTTTGTTGTAAGGCCCAAAGACGTATTTTGAGTACCTATTCTTCGAGTTTAACCTTCATTACTATAGTAGGTCTATTTTCAGCTTAGGTTGACGACAGGTGATGATGATAAGGTTGGTATCATTTTCAAGCCATAATCTTTCCCAAGGCAATGAAATACCCGATTATTGTAACGTTTATAATATTTTTATATTGACTTCCTATTTAATTTGTAAAGCTCCACGCATACTCTCTTGAACTGATGTGTTAATTGTGAAAAAAAAATTGTAATATGTGATAAACTTTTGATTTTGACAACTAAGATTATGACTTTTAGAGTCAAAATCAAGTGGAAAGTAAAAAAAAAAACTTTACAAAATCTTCAAGATATTTTGAACTATGTACGTTTGTGACCTTTATTTACATACTTAAATTAGCTAAAAGTTTATTTTAAACTGTGTTCTGCTGACAAAATAAAATTTGTAACTAAATAAAAAACATCTCTGCTGATCTTCTGAGAATAAAAGCGAGATGTTATAAATTTTACTCGTTCTAAAAACGTGGAGAAACTAATTTTTTTATGTAACTGAAGATGACCCTAAAATAAATTTCCTAATTTGTCCATGACTTCCAAAATAATTATATCGGCTGTATGAATGCCGATAATTGTTACAGGTATTAACTCCAAGATTTTTATGGCAATTGATTGTATTATCAATTCAATCAGTTATGTAAAAATCTTGGATGATAGCACAGAAACTACAAGGAATTCCTAACCCTTATCTTATCTCTGTTAAGAATGTTTTGATGGATAAAGAATTCAAATGGTATCATTTGAACCTGCCGAATTGTCAAAATCTCATGATGTTTACCTTTAAATTAAGCTACTAGTGTCCAGATGTCCGGAAAACAAAAAGTATTTTGTAACATCGAAATAAATGCGTATCATTGTTCATCGTCATCACCATTCGGTGTTATAGAAGAGGTTATGATGTCTTTCAGATATCATAACTTCAGAACGCGCTAAAGTAAAGCCACATTTAACGTTGGTGTATTTATTGGTCCAAACACATGTGTTATTTCTGCACATACAAAATACATCCTAATCACATCAATGTAAAGATCAATTTGTATTAATGATTTGACACAAAATGTTGGACAAGTGAGCGTATTTGGCTAAGGCTGAGTACATACTTACTGGCGTGGTTAGACACTTGCTCGGCCTAAAGTTTTAGGGCACAGTTCCATCGTAAGTACGAATTATTTTCGTACGGTTGCTTATAAGCACATTTTGTATGGAATTCAGCCCAGTAGGTAGTTGGATTCTAACCAAACAGTGAGTGTAACACAAGCCTTATAAATGTAGTATTATAAAGAAATATTTTATGAAAGATTTTAATTATTGTAATTGATTCGTTATTTTATTATTAAGTATTTTCTTGGCCATTGCATTGTATTGTATGGTAAAGCCAGAATGTTGTATCTATTATTTTTTATCTTAAGGCTGGCTCTCTTTTGATTGTGATCTTATTTTCATTTGAAACTTGTCAATAATTTATTTCTATTGTCATCACATTTTTTAACTTATTTTTAAAAAAATATGTCATAGTTAAATCCAACTTCCAGACAACGATTATGTTGGAACCGACTTTATAATTTCCTTTCTATTTTCGCGACTTTAAACATAGTTTTGCCTCCTTGCAATACTCGTGTCCAGAAAAAGTATTTACTGATAGTAAAAAACATCGGATCTTGTAAAATAATACCTTATCTAGTTTAAAAATTATTTTATATAAATAGTAATGCACTTGAAAATTTTAAAATTGTGGCACATTATCTAAATTGTCTAAATTTTTAATAAAAATGTGTCACACAGTTGAAATTTTGTATAATGCTAATACTATGGAATAATGAACAAATGGAGTACCTACTCACATCTATCAAATCATTACTCATCCCCGTGATAATTTATCGTTGTGACAATAGTGGTAAGAAATATTAGTTGTGTGAGTACTTCATTTGTTAAATTTTCATTGTTTTTTTTGTTATTATTTTTCTGTTACGTAGTGAAAGGATGGAAGGAATGCCATTAATTATTAGAACCAACTTCAATTTAACTAAACGTCTTTAATAGTATGAACATTAAAACAAGCAGGATGAAGAATAAAAACGCCATAAAAAACTTATTTTTTAAAGAACATTTTGTAGAATAATAAGAGAGACTTGTAATACATTCAAATTCAGTTGGTTCCTAAAGAACTCAGGCTATCCTTGCCATCCTAAGAGTGCGTTTTAAATTGTTGAAACTTATTGTGTGATAAAATATAGAATGTTTGAAGATTTTTTATTAGTATTTATTTATTAATATTAGTATTAGTATTTAAGTATTTATATTTAATATATATCTTATTACATTATTATAAAGTTTTAATAAAGAAATGATTACGAAATGTGCAATTTACTGCAGAAGCAAGAAAACTAAATGACTGACGATGCAAGAAAAATGGGGTTATAGAATAATTACCTATTTTAATAAAATAAATAAGAATAAATGATTTCATGAATAATTTATACTATCGCTAGCTTAGTAAAGCATTTACAAAATACGAAACTGGCTATAATATAAATTAAATAAATAGCCATATGCAATAAACTATATAGAGGAAAAATATATAGACTAATGTAGAATTTGAAAACCTTCTTTTGTAGTATCATGTACATGACGTTTAAAACAAAAAAAGCTTTGTAAATACATCAGTACAAACTTATATCACTTGTTGAAATAGCTTATAACAATACAGAGTAGATAATAGTCACCATACATTCCTAGAAAGAAATTATATTTGATAAGATACAGAAGCCAAAACATACCACTAATTGAGCCTCTGGTTATTTTCTACTCTGTGACGTAGTTCAGCTACTTTTCCCGATATATTCACAATTTTCGCAGATATTTAATAATGTAAAACCGTAACTCAAGTAATGTAGAAATATATATTTCACAGTTAAAACTATCTTTTTACATTATTCTTTTATCCATTTTGATTAAAACAAAAATGGCGGGATATTTGACATCTTCATTTTAATATACTCCCGCCTATTTGTTTGCATAGATAATAAATTAATAAATATGTAAATACTATGAGTTCGAATTTATGTTACAACCTTCTTTGTGTAAGTTTGTTTCAAGTTTGAAGTGAAATAGGTTCGATCCTCAGTATGGTAAGATACTTGCGGCGATTATTTGTCGTAATATTATGATTTGTTGTTATAATTGTAATAAAATATAATTTATTCCCAGTCTAATACTTGAAAATTTTATTTTCCTTCAGTAATATGTATAATTGTTTTATCCGCGTGGTAAGTAAGGATTATAATTTGTATTAGAAAAATATTTATTTGGATAGTGCATAATTGATTTTGATTACGCAACATTTAGTAATATTCACTATAAACGACATAATTATCCCTTATCGTTGAATGTCATAGGTCATTTATACCAGCTACGATAAACTTGTCCATATTTTCAAGGTGATCACCGCGACTTATCAGCATGCATGTGATCTTGATACGTTGAAGTCAAATGATTATACAAAAGTAACTAGTCCTAGGACCTAGTCATAACAACAGATGTTTTGTCTATTAAAATGTTTGCATGCACCTTATAATAATATGCATACATATAAAAATATTTTCCATTAGTGTAAAAGGACTAAGTACCTACAAATTATATTTATATTATGTATAGGCAGGGATTTTGTGTGCTCGTGCATGTATGGTAACCTTTAGCAGATAATACTGTAGGTACTTATGTCTACATAGTTTTTCAATAGGTTCTTATAACACACGCCATTACTGACTAAATCTGCTGGGACACTTGGGTGAGTGAATCTGTAGAAATTATTTGAAGATTACAATTTTTTGAGGATATTATTAGCGTTCTCTTCTACAAGAAAATGAAACATTCATGGTAGTTGCAAGCATGCCAATCATAATAATTACAATGACTATTCATTCATAAGTCTATCGGTAAGTAGACCACGTGACGCAAAGGGACTCAATTGAGAACGCGATCCTCCGCGATGTAGCGTAGGTCATGGAAGGTTACCTAATGTGAACTAATGTCTCGGTCATTGCCTCGCAGTCTATTGACATCGAGCATTATTAAGACGGGAATTTTCGCGGGTAAATTTTGTAAAAATGGCGCCATTTTTTTAAATGGCTGCCTCTAAGTGGAGGTTTTGTGTTACCATTTTAATAATATGTTATGAATTTTATATTGTGTAACATATTAGGAACTTTATCTTTATGACTAACATTCACGTAGGTGAAATATTTTTACTTTCGATTTGGAAGATTTCCAAAAGTAGCACGAGGTGTTGCTTTTATATGTTCTAACATTATATCGTCATTCAACATATGATAAGTTTCTAACTGCGTAAGTTCCTAGATAGATCTTGAGTATCTAGATGCTACAAATTACTGTGGGTAAGAGATATGTATGCCTACCTACTTCAGTACCTACCTATAAGTAGGTAGGTACGACAGATTACCAATGCAGATACTTAATAGTAAGATTAGTAGGTAAGTATACGGTCCGATGGGGACTGCATTGACCAAGAGGCGGGTCGTCGTGATGGTGTCTTTAGACATCGCCAACGCCTTTAACTCGCTGCCCTGCATCATAGAGGCACTATGGTCCACCGGCTGCCTGCTTACCTACGTCGTGTACCTAGTGGAGGCTTACTGGACAGATCCTTCAACTACCCCGGCGAGAGATATAGCGCGGTGTTCCACAGGGATCGATCCTGGGACCGATACCTACTGTTCTCAGGCGGCGGCCGACCTGATAATCACAAGCGGTTGCGGAAATGGTTGCAAGTTGGTGGCGCTCCACAAGTACGAGGCTATATGCGTTCATGCCCGTTGGAACGGGTCACCCCTGAGGGGTCCCAAATTGCGGTAGGATGGATTACCATGGACATCGTGTCGACAATGAAGTACCTGGGATCGTCCTTGATAGCCGGTTAAACGATGTTTGGCTCCCAAATTCGAATAACTGGGCATGCGCTCAAGCTGCTCCTCAGGGGGCAAACGCCTCCTGCCGGGGGTTGTATATGCAGATTTCTCTCGGAGAGCTCTACGAGGCCCGTGTGGCCGGACCTTGGTCCTATCGCGTCCGAGAGGGCCATGGCTGCCTTAATCCGCTGCTATCGCACGATCTCCAACATGACAAATTTTGTATTTACATTTACCTAAATATGCCTAGATAAGTACTGATTCTGATTCGGCAGCATAACATGCTACATCAGTTTCTCAAAATTATTTAGGTACCTACTACTTACTTAGGTATTAAAAATTCTCACGCTGCACTAAAATTGTGTTCTCAGCTCGTAAACAATATCTGATGAAAGGAGATAAATTAATTATCATATATTAGTTTAAAAGTTGTATTTTTATTAAGTATCTTATACTAC